ATATTTTTTGGCACTGTCTCCTTCACTCTGAGGCAGCTGAGTGCCAAGAGCAATATGCCAATATGTTCTTGATTTAGCCATTGAATATCAATTTGGTGGCATTGCCTATTTTCGCCAAGTGATCCAATTACTCAACTCAATAAGGAAGTAAATCCTTGGTAAACTTTCCCTTTAACTTGAAATGTATTGAAAACGGCAAAGCAATAAATTTTGCAACGTTTGCTCGCAAAAGAGAAGTTTATACATATATGTATAAATTTACGAATATTTCACTAATCATTCATTGCCCGTGGTTTATATTTTTGAAAGACATATTTTACTCACAGAAAATGATCTTTAAAAGGAATATATTTTATTATAAGAGCTAAGGCAAAATGGAACCATTGGATATCCTATGTATTGTTATATGTGTTCGATATTCATTTCGTATGAAGTTTTGTATATACAACTTATATGAGCAAACTTATATAGTACTTGTAGTATTATTTATTTATTGTGATTTTTGTATAAATCATTACATAATGCAGCCCAATTGCATTTATATGTGATTTTCATTCCCTAAATTCACTTATAATTGTAGAAATATAATCTGCATATCATTATACTATTTCGTATATTCTGCTTAGACTCTTTCACTTGCTGTCGCCCTCTAATATGGTCTACCCATCTCTGTCTGACAGCCGCGCCTCTTTTCACTTGCGCCTTTCTATACGATTTTCATAAATGGATTGATGATTAATTCCATTAACATTAACAAATGATATTTAATGTTATTTAAGCAGTTATAACTCAATTATTCCCTTAAAACTCATTCAGCAGGGTATCGATATAAATGAGAGTGTAAAGGAAGAAGAAGAAGTGAAGGGAAGAAGAGCTTTTTCAAGCACTAATAAAACTGGTTTGGGTTTTATTTCTGTTTCTGTTTCTGTGTGTGTTTTATTTTTTTTCGTTTTGGACTCGCACAGCTCGGTCCAAAAATATATGTGAATGTATTGGCGGACTCCCAGCCACTGAATCGGGCTGCTGCTGCTGTTGCTGCTGCCTCGAATTGTGTTAAGTTGCTTCGTTTTGTATGCACAAAGGCAGCAAGCAGCAAACGGCAACGGCAACGGCAACGGCAACTGTTGAACGGGGCAGGAGCGGGATTCGGGTGATGGCACAGCCGGCGGCAAATTGAAGAGTTCCAGCTTCAAAATAAACAACTTTGAAATGGCGCGCAATTTTACCCACTTACACAAGTTGATGGTTGTGCGTGAGTGTGGAGCGAGAGTGTGTGTGTGTATCTGGGAGATACTCTGTTGCTCGTTTTCTCTGTATGTGTGTTCGTTCGCTTGTATCTGATGTATTCAGCTGCGCTTTGGTCACGTACAAGATTGCTGCCCCCGAAATGGCTGTCGATGCTTATGCCACGGCTGGCGTCCCCTCGGTTACCCGATACCCAGTCGGCCAACAAACACGCCCGGACCCTGACATTAGTGGGTCAATGGTGGCCAAATGAAATACAATGAATAAGTGCACTGCTTATGATACACTCGGATATATCTGAGTGGACAGACATATACATATACATACATACATATACATATATGTATAAATATTTGTAATGTGTAATAATTGTTTATTGTATGCTTGCAGGAATATTGTCTCCTCCGGGTCCGTTTCTGACGCCCAGTCCATCGCCATCGATCTCAGCTAGTCCACGCCTGCAACCATCACCATCGCTATCGCCATTCCCACAGGATGTGGTGCTCGTAGCCGGTGGCAACGCATTAAACGCCAACAGCAATCCACAGGAACAACACGTAAGTCCCATCATAATATATATCTGCATAATAACTGTAACTGTATCTGTATTAATTAATCATTGAATCCTTTGCAGGAGCGCAAGGCGGCGACGCCTGGCAGGCGACAATCCATACATCAGTTCACAAATGGCAGTCCCAACGCCGGCACCGTTGTCTTTCAGCCGAGTCCCTCCCAGTCGCCGGCCGCTGCCACGACCGTCATTGGCGTGACAGCTGGCGGGCTCATTGCCGCCGCCGCCGCCGCCGCCGCCGCTGCCGCAGCCGGTGGACACAATAATGCAATCGGCACTGAGTTGAACGCCACGCTAGTCGGCTCCAACAATATCCAACTGAACAAGGTAAGTTGAGCCGTGCTGCACTCGCCCGATAAGATAAGATGCCCTATCAAAGTGGAGCACTGATGCGCGATAATGGTGCGAATTTACATTGCATTAACCATTACCAAGACACAACTAATGCAATGCACAGCTTATTGAAGTTGCTATGAATCAAAATATTGTTATTAAATTGCTCGCATTTAACTAATAGTTTAGACACAATTTATTGGCTATTTGACAGTGGCAACTAAATTGATTTTTTACACTTTTCTAGAAGGGCAACAAGCGGACGGGACAGCAGCATCAGCAGCAGCACCAGCAGCAACAGCAGCAGCAGCAACTACAACAGCAGCAACTGCAGCATCAGCAGCAACAGCAACTGCAGCAGCAAATCTTTAGCACCAACGCAGCGGCGCCCACCTCGATCTGCTCGACAGTAGCCGGCGGCTATGGGCAACCGAATGCAACGGCAATACCCACGCCCATTTCGTTTACGACAGCAAATGTGGCTAGTAGCCCAAAAGGTCAAGCGAAAAAGGGCGCCAATTCGGTGCTGAGCCAGCAGCAGCAGCAGCAGCAACAACAGCATCATCAACAACAGCAGCAGCAACAGCAGGCGCAGTTCCAGCAATACCAGAGCAGTAGTCCGCTGATAGCAGACAGTCCTATACCCAGTCCCAGCAACGCCATTGCTGCTGCGGCCATAAAGCCGCCGACGCCACAGCCTCAGGCCGTACAGATGCTGCCGCAACAGTTCACAATCACCAGCGGGCCGCAGCAGCAGCAGCAGGCGCCGCAGCAAGTTTTCCAGTTCATTCAGGGGCCGCAGGGTCAGATCATAGCCACCACCACACAGCAGGCGACGCTGCAGCAGCAGCAACAACTGCAACAACATCAGCAGCAGCAACAGCAGCAGCAACAACAGCAGCAACAGCAACAACAACAGCAGCAACAGCAGCAGCAACAACAGCAGCAGCAACAGCAGCAACAACGCTTTACCAGCAATACAGGCATTGCGTTGTCTACTGTCAACACCAAGGCGAGCAAGACGCCCCAACAGATTCTGCCCAAGCCGCAGCAGGAATTGGTCTCCCAGTCGCTGCAGCAGCAGCTGCAGAAGAACAAAAGCAACTCACAATTGCCGCAGATCTCACAGTCGCCTCAGCCGCAACAGGCGCAGCTCAGCGCTGCCTCCAACAATGCCAACAACCAGCACCAGCAGCAGCAACAGCAGCAGCAAATCTTGCTGCCAGCAACATCAGCTCAACCACAGCAACTATTGCTGAATCAGATGCCCGTGTTGGTGCAGCAGAACCCGCAGGGTGTGCAGCTCATATTGCGTCCACCCACGCCGCAGCTGACGGCCACGCCCTCGCTCGTCATACAGAACTCGCGCGGACAGCCGCAACTGCAGCAGCCGGCGCAGCAGCAACTGCTGCGCATCGTGGGCACCAATGGCGCCACCATGCAGCTGGCGGCCGCCACACCGACCTTCATAGTGTCGTCGCAGGGCAATCTCATCCAGCAGACGGCTGCCGCTGGCCAATTCCAGAGTGCGATCAAGACGGGCACCCAGCTGAGCGGCCTGCATGCGGCGCTGGCAGCGCAAACGCCACGATCTCAGCCGTTCACCACAACGGCCACCATCAACACCCAGTTGCTGGGCCAGAGCGTTGCGGCTCAGCTGCAGAATCTGCAGCTGGCTGCAGCGGCAGCTGCCAATGGCAATGGCATTGCTCAGATCCAGATGCCCAATGGGCTGGCGGCGATATCGCAGCTGCAGCAGACTCTCGGCGGTGCTACCATCAATCTGAATCAGTTGAATGGCGCCCATCTGCAGCAGATAGCCACGGCCTTCCAGACGCCGCAACCGCCGCAGCAGTCCACCACGACAGCTGCATCCGGTGGCGGCAGCGGCAACAGTTCCACGGAGCTCTTTGCTCAATCCTCTCCGGCGCATGTACCCGTAGCCGTTACCCCGGAGCCCCTGCGCCAGCCCACGGCACAGCAGCAGGCGGCCATGGCCACCATACAGATGCAGCAGCAGCAACAGCAGCAGCAGCAGGCGCAAATACAGCAGCTGCAGCAGCAGCTGCAACAGACGCAGACACAGGTGCAGCAGGCGCAGCAGCAGCAGCAACAGCAGCAACAACAGCAGCAGCAGCAGCAACACACTGTGGAGCCCAAGAAGAAGCCTCGGCCGCGCAAAAAGAAACCACCGGCGGCTACGGCGGCAACAGCTCAGCAAAAGATTGCCATACCCGCCACGCCCACGCTGAGCACGACGCCAGCGCCAGCGCCGACGCTAACGCGAACGCCCACGCCGCAGGTGGCGCGAGTGAAGTCGCCGTCGCCGCCGCCCACGCACATCCAGCGCTCGAGCAATGGCAAACTCGATCTCGGCGATGTGATGAAGTTCTGCGGCATCACGGAGGATGACGACGACGATGAGGACTATGCCATGGATGCAGTCACAAACTCCGCACCGGCTGCAGCAGCTGCAGCGGCRGCCAATAGCAGTAGCAGCAGCAGCAACAGTGGCGGCAACAACAACAACAACAGCAGCAGCAGCAGCCACCACCATCAGCACATTGAGGAATCACTGCCACCACCACCGCCGCCGGCGCCCTTAAGCAATGGAGTAGTGGGCGCGGCAGTCAATGCAACGGCGGCGCCCAGCTCCAACGATATCATGATCTCCATACCGAGCCAAAACGGCAGCGATGGGCTGCCCTTTACGCTGACCATTCCGGCACCAACGCCGGTCAACGAAGCCACCGAAATACCAAATATCCTCATTAAGATCGATCCAAGCGATGGCGCGGCTGCAGCGGCCGTTGCCAGTGGAGCCACCTTACCACCGTATACGCTGTCCACACCGCGCCTGCCCACCGCCGAGGAGATACAGCGGCAGGCGCAGCAGCATCTCGCCCAGCAGGCAGCCGCTGCGGCTGCGGCAGCGGCAGCTGGTGGCAAAATATGCACCAGCATGCAAACCACAACGCCGGCGCCCACAATTAGCTTCAGTCTGGGAGGAGCACAGTCGCAGACCATCGGCAATGTGACGCTGCAGCAGGCGCCCATTGCGGCGAGCATAACGCTGACCACGCCCACGACAACAACAACAGCGGCGACAACGTCGTCGGCGACTGCAGCAGCAACGGCGGCGGTGAAGCCGCGCCGCAAACCCGCTGTGCGTCGCAACACCAAGAAGCAGGAGACGCTCAACGGCAACATCATTAACAACGGCAACATCATCAGCACCAGCAGCAGCAACAGCAGCAGCATAAGCAACATCAGCAGTAGCATGAACAACATTGGGCACAGCATCATTGGCAGCAGCAACACCACCACAACCACCATTAGCAGCAGTGGGAATAGCAGCGGTGTCAACACCGTCAACACCATCACCCTGACAACGCCAGTGAGTAGCAGCAGTGCTTGCAGCTCCAGCATATTGCTGCCGCACGGCCTAGGCCTTGCCAGCAGCAACAGCGGCGGCAGCAGCAGCGCCACGCCCACAACTGTGCCCAGCCAGATTGGCAACATACAGATCTCGCAGGTGCAGAACCACCATCAGACCACATTGCCCATCGGCAGTGCCGTGGAGAATAAGATTCAAATAATGCCCATTCTGCCGCCGGGAGCCACAGTGATGGGTGGTGCAGTGGCATCGGCAGCCGCAACGGCAACGACGACAACCACCGCTGCCACACCACAAGCACAGCTCGTCTTTCAGCCGACGGCAGCCACCACCACAGCAACCTCTGCCCCCGAGACGACCACAATCAAGCTGTCCAGCGATGGCCGTCAGATGCAATTGGTGACCATACCACAGGCCACGCCACCGTCGACGGGAGCTTCCATGCAGGCGGTGACCACGGCCGGTGGTGCTACCATATTGCCGCCACAATTGACCGGCATGCCGGGCAACGTGTCCATATCGGTGGGTTCGCCCGCCTCGGCAGCAGCGCTGGTGCCCCAGCTGACGGGCAGCCTAACGCTGGCCGTCTCGGAGCACTGCGAGCGACTGATTTTGCGGCATGATCCCAACACGCCGCAGGATCATCAATCGCAGCTCATACTCCAGGCATTGCTCAAGGGCGCTCTGCCCAATGTGACCATCATCAATGAGCCGACCCGCATGGACACGAGCAAGCCACCAGCACCAACTCCGCCGCCGCCACAACCAGCACAACAGCAACAACAACAACAGCAGCAGCAGCAGCAGCAACAACAACAACAGCAACAGTTCCAATTGCAGCAGCAGCAACATGCGCAGGTAGCCACAACAACAATCGCAGCCGCTGCGCATCCCCCAAAGCCACTGGCAACATCCAAGAGCGATATCAAAGGTATTTAAAGTTGTTTACATTATTTGGCTTGGCCCTTACTATTGACACTCATCTCATTCCAGCTGTCAACAATCGAAAGTTATCCACGCCCGCCGCACACGCCAGCAATCTGCTGAGCAGCAACAATAATACCAGCAGCACCAACAGCAGCAGTAGCAGCAGCAGCATTCCCACCAACACCACCAATGCAATTAAACCACCGAGCATGCCAGCTAAGATTAGCGAAACTTTAACCTTTCCACAATTGCCGTCAACAGCGCAACTGCTGGTGCAGCAGCAACAGCCTCAGCAGCAGCAGCAGCAGCAGCAACAACAGCAACAGACGTCGCAGCAGCCAGCAACAGCCAGCAATGCACAACGTTATGTGGCACTGCCTCCCATCGATCCCAGCACGCAGCAGCTGTTTTGCCTGAACAGTGTCTCCAATCAGATTACGGCCATCAGCGCTGGCCAAACGACAGCGTCGATTGGGCCCACGGAGCGACTGCTGATTGCTCCCGCGGGCATCAATGCTCAGCAGCTGGCGCAGTGCCTGCAGCTGGGTCAGCTGCACTTCAACGATGTGAATCCTCTGCCACCCACACAGTTGGCGCAGCAAGCGGCAGCAGCAACAGCCACATCAACGGCAACAGCAACGGCAACGGCAACATTGCCCATTCAATTGCGCCCACAGCCGCCACAGCAGCAGATCGTTCATCCCATACAGCCCATCAGCAACGGGCATGGCCTTAGCCTGGGCTTGCCGATTAGCACGACAACAACCACGACGTTGACCACCAGCAACAGCACCACCACGAGCACCACTACGGTCACCAAGCAGGTGGCCAATGTGGCGCCCATCATAGACCAGAGCAAAGCTAAGCTGGAGCCGGCAAAGGCCGCCGGAGCAGGCAGTACGCCAGCAACAGCGCCCAGCACGGGTGCCGTTGCCAAAAAGAAGCCGGTGCGTAAGCCCAAGACAACGTCCACGGCCGCCGAGATGAACAGCCTAAAGAATGCCAGCGTTGTCAAGCCAATGCCCAAACTGGATCCGTTGTCCCAGAAGCCCAACAACAATCCGGTGCAAATTGTGCAGCCGAATGTTGCGAGCGGCAAACAGATGATTGTCATTGTCAGCTGCAGCGGCGGGCAGACAACCACAACAACAACCACCACAATGAGCAATAGCATTCAGCCCTTTCAGACAACAAGCGGTACCAAATTGGTGGGCGTCACGGCGCCCATGCAGCAACAGCAACAGCAACAGCAACAACAGCAGCAGCAACAGCTACAGCAGCAATCTCTAGGCACAGCAGTAACTGTGCAGCAGCAGCAACAGCAACAGCAACGTGGCAGCTTTAGCTTAACAGCAACAACATCGACGCCCAGTGCGGTGGTCAGCAGTGGTGGTAACAGTGGAGCTGTCACTCAATTGCAGTTGCCAGTGCAAATACAGCAGCAACAGCCAAAGCAGCAGCAGCAACAACAACAGCAGCAACAACAGCAAGCCCAGCAACAGCCGCAACAAAACACAATTTCGCGAGTGCAAACGATTCAGTTGACACCTCAAATGCAGCAGGTATTTCGCACGGTGCAAACCCAAATTCAGTTCCTGACCATCAAGCTGCAGAACAAGTCGTTTGTGCCCACGTTGCCCATCTCGCCAGAAGTGGATCCAGCAGCCATCGCCATGTACAACAAGCCCATGTCAGATGCGGAGATCAATGTGGCGCTGCAGCGTTTGTTTGCGGAACAGCATCGCATCTTGGCCTCGGGCAAGGAGGTGCCGACGCCGGAGGGCATGATTCCCACGCCCAATGCGAACGGTAGCTTCAGTCTAATGCCTCAGCAATTTCAGCAGGTGCAACAACAGCAACAACAACAACAGCAGCAGCAACAGCAGCAGCAGCAGTCTGCAGATACTCTGAAAGCAACAAATAGTGGTGTTATTTTAGCAAATGTGGTGCAGCCCAACAATCATTCTACCACCAGCACAACAGCAACGTCAGTACCCAACAATGCGCAGCAGCAACAGCAGCAGCAACAACAACAACAGCAGCAGCATCAGCAATTGAATGTTGCTCAACGTATTCACATATATCCCATGCAACATCAGCAGCAACAGCAATTGGCCAACAAGCAGAAGCTTGCACAGCAGAAGCAGCAACAACAACAGCAGCAGCAGCAGCAAGCGGCGTCCATTTGCAACCTGCCACAACAACAGGCGTCACAGGCCAAGGTCAAGGAAGCAGCCTGTCGCAGCAAAGCTAATGCAGCCAATCAACAGCAGCAGCAGCAGCAACAACAGCAGCAACAACAGCAGCAACAACAACAACAGCAACAACAACAACAGCAGCAACAAATGCCACAATCGACTGCAACAGTCAATATGTTGCAACAGAAAGCAAATATTCTCTCTGCACCACTGCAGCAGCAACAACAGCAGCAACAGCCTGCTGCCTGCCTCAAAAATGGACCACCGCCGCTCATCTTTGCCAGCGCCACGAATCTTTTATCCAATAGCAATAACAGCAATAGCAATAGCAATAGCAATAGTAACAGCAATAGCAACGGCAACAGCAATAACAGCAGCAGCAATACCAATAACAACAGCAACAACAGCAGCAACAGCAACACCAGTGCCATGTTGTCAATGCCACCATTGCAGCCGCAACAACTGCAGCCACTACAATCACAACAAACACAGCAGCAGATCCAACAACAACCCCAGCCGCAGTTACATAGTCAACAACACCAACAACAACAGCAGCAGCAGCAGCAGCAACAGCACTTGCAACAGCAACAACAACAACAGCTACTTCCGCTTCCACAACCGTCGCTAATAGCGACACCAGCATTGGGTAATCTAATTACCCCAACGCTGCCCACAGTGCCTGTATTTTTGCCGGGTCTGTCTCTGCCCAAGACGGAGGAGCTGCTGCCAACACCTAAACCAAAAATTGCACGCCTCTCCTTGTGAGTAGTTGGTTGACAAATGCCGATTTTAAAGAAATGAGGCCAACTTCAATGCACTTCGTTTAGGCCACATTGGATTTATATACTAATGGATATTTCATTCACAGGTTCGTGCGCCAATTGGAGGTGGATCAGGAGAGTTGCCTGAAGCCGGACTATGTGAAGCCGTTTCGCACCAAGGACGAAGCGGTCAAGCGGCTAATCAGGTAAGTTGCTGCAACAGTTGCTGTCGACGCAGCTGGATTAACCTTGTGTTTTCTTTTGGTCTTGCTCAGATATCATTGCATGCATGAGAATGATGTGGAGTTAAACTCCGATGAGGATGAAGAATTCGAAGCAGCTGCGTTGGGCTTTCGTGATAAGTTCCGTCAGTTGAATGGAAAATTCCAGGAGATTCTATTGCAGGAGTCAACCGTAAGTAATCTACTAAATATCAATAGAAAATAGATCTATAATATGTTTCTATAATTTGTTTCAGTTACCTCATCGCACCTCGGAACTTCTGCAAGTGCAGCAGCTAATGATAGACGATTTGAAGGGCGAGATCAGTGATATACGCACTGCTGAGAAGGAACTGCTGGAGAAACAGCAACTACAACAGCAACTCAAAGAGGAGCAGAGCTCTGAGGCCACGGCTGACAGTGAGTCGCAAGTGGACACCAAAGTGAAGGAGGAAATCAAATTAGAGCCAACGGATAAGGTCTCCGAATCAGCAGCACAGACAGCAGAAGGGGTTGTGGACAAGTTCGATCTGCTCAAGAATAGTGCGGATGTGAACAAGGTATACAAGCCGCCGCAACAGACACAGCAGCAACAGGTCAAGCGAGAAGAGAATGGCGAGTGGCTCTGTCAGTCCGAGGCTAGCGGCCTGACCAACGGATCGTTGGAGGAGACAGTTAAAAAGGAGCAGCACAATAGTTCCAAGGATAACGCTCAGCGTATCAAAAAGGACTACGATAACTTTGATATCGAATCTGAGCTGACGCCCAGTTTTATCATGAAGAAAGTGGAGCAAAAATTGCAGTCGGATACTGCAAAGAATGTTGAGAACTGTTATGAGTTGCAGGAGGAGAGACAACAACAGCAACAACAAGAGCAGCAGCAACAACAACAGCAGCAGCATCAACAACAGCAGCAGCAGCAACAGCACCAACAACAGCAGTTACAGCAGCAACATGTTAAGAATAACAATCTAGCCCAAGAGGATCACGAGGACGGTTGGTACTGCCTGCAAAAAGAGCTTAACCTGATGAGCAATGAGCCGCTGCAGCCACAGCATACACAACATGCCCCACTGCAACATGCTACTCATCAGCAACACTTGTCGCAGCAACATCTCTATGATAACAATGCCAGCAACATGCTCAATAATGGAAATCATCTGTCCGATCTGTTTCCGAACGGCTGCATTGACAAGAGCAATCAGAGTAACAGCAATACCAGCAGCAATAGCAGTAGCAGCAGTTGTGCCGGTGATGTTGGCGGCAACAGCAGCAATGCTGGCAACAACAACAACAGCGTGCCCATCGGCAGCTCTTGCAGCCAACAGCGCCAACAACCGCTGGCCATGCAAGCGGATCAACCCAATCATCATCCGGCCATTAGCGAGTTCTTCAACAGCGACTCGGATGTGCAAAAGTCTGTGGAGACGCGCTTGGAGGCCATGTTCGGCGAGTCGCCAGTGCATTTGGATGTGAAGAACAGCAGCGATGCACACGACATTGAATCCAATTTGGATGAGATATTTGGTGATTCGAAATCGCCAGCAGCGAACCACAAGAACAAAATGAGCATTTGGGGGCCCGACGAGAGTTTCAACGCTGGCTACAGCAGTGATCAGCAGCAACAGCAGCAGGCATACGGTCACCAGCAGCAGCAGCAGCCACAACAGCAAGCACAACAACAGCAGCACCATATCGAGCTCAACTGCAACAACAATCCGCGCTGGATGCAGAGCATGGAAGCCCACTACACCGACTATATGTCGAGCAGCACCAGCACAGTCGATGGCCAGACGCACAATATGCTGGTGAATGGTGAATCACGCAAACGCCATTGGAACGGCCAGCTGATGGGCTCCAGCAGTGACTTGGAGGATGAGAATAGCAGCAAGCGATTGTGCACAGCATCATCGACGTCCTCGTCGCCCATGTCCTCGCAGCAGCATGTGCAGGTGCCACAGCATGGCATGCTGGATGCGGACATGTTGGCTTTGCATGATGGCATGGGTGTAGATAGCGTGACCACTAATGGTCCCGCTGCCTTTTCACAACTGCTGATGGAGCAGCAGCAGCAGCAGCAGCAGCAACAACAGCAGCAGCAACACAGCTTTGCCAATCATCAGGCTTTCGCGAGCATGTTGGATCCGCAACAGCAGCAGCAGCAACAACAGCAACAGCAACAACAGCAGCAGCACCCGCACTACCAGCACAATATGCAGCAGCAGCTACAGCAGCCTCAGCAGACGCAAATGCACGTGAACCACATGGGCGGTGCGTCAGTGGTGACAGGCGAATATGATGATGACATCAGCCGGCATGTGGCCAGTGCGATTGATAGCATACTGAATCTGCAGAACAGCGGCGATTCGCTGCAGTTCTCGTTGGGCTCCTTCTTGGGCGACAGTATACTAGACGATCAACGGCAAGCGGCAAACTTGCCCAGCTGCCAACAGGAGCAGGTGAACAACCGGCGCCGCCAGCTGGGCGAGGACATGGGTGATTGTCTAATCAGCGGCGGTGCTGGACCAACTGTGAATGCTGTTCCTGATGCTAGCGGCAATCTGTTGCTAGATCATCATCATCATCACCATCAYCAACAACAACAGCAGCAGCAACAACAGCAGCAGCTACTGCAGAATCATCTGGGTCAGCAGCCGCATCTGCAGCATCATGCGCAACACCACCATGGCATATCGCAGCCGCAGTCACAGCATCATTCGCAACTGAATGACTTTAGCTGTGTGGCCGCTGGCCTGGATGAGGCCGTCAAGTCGATTATGACCTCTTGACTTGGGCTGCAAGCAGTCACAACAACTGGATCTGATGTGTCGCAAATCACAGCAGCTGAGCTGCAGTCGGCGGCAACGGCAACACTAGCAAACAGTCTTATATTGGAATTTAACGCCACCACCTTGTAAAGCTGCCCAAGGCAACACAACAACCACAAGAACAACAACCACAAGAACAACAACACATTGATTGTACATTAAGCCCCCTATTGCATGTTATTTGTTCATTTTAGTTGTTGTCCAATGTGCTGAATACATTCGGCAACAGTTGCCAAATTTTTGCACCTTGCTCTGTACAATTTATTTGTTTATTTTAGATCTAAGTTGAGAATGTAGCGTAAATTGTAATTATTCTTGTTTTCGTTTTTAGTCCAATGTGTTTGTACAATATTTAAAGCTACAAGATAAATGACAAAGCAGTCTGGTAATTATTTATAAATTTGTATAAATTTGTAGTCATCCAATCAAGAGCATTCTTATGGGACAGCCGGTCCTTAAAAGTCAATAGTCAAAAGCAATTAACGCGGAGAATTGAAAACAAAACGACGAATAGCATGAAATGCTTCTCAGAGAAGTACACTGAATGAATTCTAATGTAATACAAATGATATAGATACAATAAATAAGTGAATATGCCTAGACAATTTATTAAAATTATATCTTTACTACGAACGAACGAACGCAATGAAACGTAAACCAAGCTAAGAAAGAATGTAAGCAAGGAACTAACAAAAATGACTTTGGCATGCCGAAGATTGAATACGCTTGCAGACGCACGATTGTTTCTCATGGAACGCTGTTAAATTGTCCGACAGAATCGACTAGACTTTGGGAATTGTGAAAGAAGAAAGCATTTCAAACAATGTGATCTAATCTGATAGGAAGAGTTCGATATTATGGCTTTAAATCTATATTAAAAATACGTTTCGTTCATATTCAATTAATGGGAACGGGTCAGTGATCGTAACTGTAACTAAGCATAAAACATTTCCAGAAAAGAAAACAACTTGCAAAAGTATGAAAAAGTGACAAATGACGAGAATTGGTTGTATAATTCACAGTTAAGTAATGTAGCAGGAAGAGCATTCGAAATTCGTAATTAGATTTACGCTAAACAATTGTAACAATGTTGCCAATTCTGTTGAATCGATAAGTGGAACGAGAAGGAAAATTCAACAACAAAAATTCAATATACATTACAAATTATATATATACATATACATATATATATTTGTGTAATGCATGCGCCAGTTTCAACAATTGCAGTTTTTAATCAAAGGATTTGCTCTTAGTGTATAAATGTGTAAAGAGAAAGGCATGCGAAAATACGTAAGATATAATAAAATTAATTTAAAACAAATTCAATTTAAGCAATTTAAATTATTATCATTTGAAATACGCTTAACGTCTTTCTGCTTCAGAGCTAACCAACCGAAACGCACTGAGAATAATCTTCGCATGCATGCATAAATAATTCGAATAAATAATGTGCTCAATTTTAATTAGAAAGCTCTTAGCCAACTCGGCTTTGACTACGGGTGACATCAGCAAAGCATATATGAATGTCTTAGGGAGTTCCACGAGTCAAACGACTCCGACAAATGACAAAACGACAAACGACGAAGCAAACCAAACGCAGTTCAAAAGAATAAATCCACAATTTTAGCAAATTTAGTTTAAAACATTTATAAATAATTAATTATATACTTATGAATACATAGAGTTGTGTGTATATTGTACATCAATGCAATAACAAATCAACAAAAATGAAAAAAAGAAGAAAAGAAAAGAAAAGAAAAGAGAAAACAAAAAACATATATTAAATGAATCGTATCATTGTATCTTGATCTTGATCTTGACACAAATCTGATTTGTGATTTGTGCCACGTTTTAAATATCGATGTCTGATTAGCATGTAATATAACTTAGAACAGAAGATAATTGAATCCATAATCCGTAAGAAACCACAACTGCGAACTTAATCCAAATATTGTAAATGCTAGGAAGCCGCGCATAAGATTCACACAACTATACTGAAAATGTTCGACTCAAATGATCAGTCGTCCGCATCACGTATTAATCCATACCAATTACAATAAAAGCAACATCAACAACTACTATTAAAAAAAAATAAAGCCACAACAGCAACCGACTACAACAAATGAATGAGATCAACAACAATATACTAATTAATGGTATGGGATGTGACTAAACAATTAGCTCTTAAGTAAATTTTCGAATGGTACCGGTACCATTCCWTTGTATGTATGTATTACTATATAGCGTTTAATTGGCTTAGATCCCAAATCACTCCAGCTCTTTTCTCTGTATTGATTTATAAAGCCGATGCGCACGCAACACTTTCTAGTTGTTATACAAAGACAAATAATGAAATAATTGTGTAAAAATTTATATGTAATAGCTAAAAGTTAAGTTAGTCAAGGAAAATTGCATTCGACATATATATGTATATGTACATGTATATATATATATATATATATATAGCTGCCGATGGAAACAAATGCAAACAGAACTTATCACTCGCTAGGAGCCCACTTCAATTCAACTTATTAATTATATGGTATCATTTACAACTTAAATACCCATTGTTTCAATTTGTATTCTAAACTAAGCAGTTACTCCAAATCGGCTTCAACAGAACCTCTCTCCCTAAAAAACCAAAAATAAAAAATATAAATAAAATTAAAAAAAAAAAGAGAATAAAACAAAAAACAATATCGTATAATAAATTGTTCAGCTAAATGTGTCTAAATGTAATTTAATGAGAAACGAAAAGTAATAAGAAAGCAAAGATTTTTAATGCAACATTGTGAGTTTTAATTACAGCATCAACTTAAAAAAGAAAAGCATACAAGTTTAATATTTCATAGTTTATTAAGCCCATCCATTCATAGTCGTCATAAACATTAAGTACATAATCGTATTAAAAACGCAACAAATAACATCAATCCGAATTGAAACAGGAAACAAACTTTACAAAATAAACCAAAACCCACACAGAAATGCAATCAAATTTAATGCATATTGTTGGGTGCAAGTGCAAATCGTACGCAAAAAAAAAAAAAAAAAAAAAAAAAAGAAAAATAAAAAATTGAAAAATACGTATTCATAAGAATAAAAACAAATTCGGAAAATTTTAAATCATCGTCTTTCATTCCCGACATTTTTAGATTACTTTCAGCAATATAAAAGTAAGTAAAGTCAATATGAAGTTTGCATTGTATTATTTTGTTTGTTTATTTAAAAAAAAAATAACAGGATATTTAAAGTTTTCTAAATAATGCAGAGATTGAATTGTCTTTGCAACTTAAATATCATATCGCGGATTACATACACTTGTACTAAGTACCTACCAATTATATATTACTATATGCTATAAATATTATGCGACATTATTAATAATTATATTTATCAACATTTCGGCAGTTGGTGCACCAGAATTTTTGATATAACGTATGTTCCATGCTTATAATATGGAAATAAATAAATAAAAATTATAATAATAATAAAATTCTAAATCAGTACTATTAAACAAATCATTGACATGTTCCTGGGTTTTATGCAATTGATTAACTTATTATTATTATATATTTTTTTTTTTTAGCCAAGTTCTTTAATACATTTTTTCATCCTAACCTTGGCATAATATTTGGCATTTGCGCTACGCTACGACTAAAAGGGTACTGCCAAAACTTCCATATTTTCCGATATTTATCAAACCCTATTTACTACCTTAGTTGGTACCTTAGATGAATCAATTCGTTCGCCTAATTACAATTAGTTCTGGTACACGGGCAACGGATGACCCTCCGAGTTGAAGACCCACTTGTCGAGGTCTATTTCCCTGCAATTGTCACTAAATAGCAAATAGAAATATTTCAAAGTCTCGCTCAACCAAAAGCTTTCCATGAGATCGCGCATTCGAGTATTCAAAGTGTTTTTCACATTGCCCAGTGATGTGTAGCCGGCAGCTACTTTTGAATGCTTTTCGAATGCCTGGAAAATGACCCAGCCCATATCCTGATATGTGCGGTTCCCGGTTAGTGCATAAAAGTAATACAAGCTTTCTATGAACTCGGGTCGCAGCAAGTTGTGCGCATCATTCGACTTCACATATATATCATTCTCTTCCTTGTCGGTCAGCGCAAAGTATGATATCTCAGCTGCCAATTGAGTAGGCTGTCTGACATAGGTTTGATAACACGTGTCCAGCAAATCCTTAGCGAGCAGTAGATGCGATTCGGGCATGCCATTCTGGTGGCCAAGCAATAAAGTTCCAGGCAAATAGCATGTCAAATGATCCATTTTGGGCTTAAAGTCATGACCATTAATTAGCTCTCCTATATATACCCAGTGTTCGCGTGGTGTGCGTCGCATCAATTGCGTGAATACGCCGTCTATCGCTTGCATGTAGTCCAAAATAAGACTAAAAAGCACGAGTTGATTATAGGACTCTATTTATTGTTTATAGCTGTTGTTGACTTACTTGTCGTTATCCTTGCGACCCGTTTGCAGCCATTGCTTGAGTAAGTACTCATAGTACGAGTCGCCACGTGCACCCAATGAGATTGTCGCATAATTTCTAAATGTGCCCGTGTTGGCATTGATAAATATTGGCACCAGGCCGTGACTTTTATCTAGTGCGTGTACTTTTTCATTTACTACGTTTACCACCTATAACACCGACAATACGAACATTAATAGATTAAACAGTTAACAAAATGACTAGAACCTACCCGTTCATAGATAGAAATATTTGTAGAGCGACTCAGATCACGGAATTCCAACTGTATAGTCGTTACTTCGCTGGTTGAACTATCCGGAGACCATTTTGGCGAATGTGCAGATCTTTCGCCCAGATTCACATCCGAATATGGAATGCCCGACGGCGAAAGAAAACTGGGCAATAAGCGATTGCCAAGCTCAGTGGCTTTAACCAAAAACATCCTATCGCCGCTCAAATGGTAAGCGGACAGCAAACCGCCCAGAACACGTATGGTTACCTCGAAGAGATTCACGTCGCGATTTGTATGGAAATGCAAAGCATCTTTGACCCAATTGCGTGCCTCGTTAAACTCTGTTGAAGCAGAATTGTTTTTAGAAATGTATTAAAAAACAAAACTTATTGAATGCTTACCATCTTCTAGGCCCATGATATACATTGTGTCCAGAGAATCAACGATTGACAGTCCTAAACCAAACCATTCGTGTGCAGTTTGGGAAACGGGTTTCAGATTGTCGTGACCCCAGGCATAAGTCTTATAACCAGCCCAGGAGTGCTTAAAGGCTGCCACAACTGCAGACTGCCGCTCATTGGTAGCGCCATGAAAATGCTGGGGTTTTGCTAACTGTCCGCTTATACTCTGAAGATGAGACTCAATGCTGACATGGGAAACTTTGAATGGATTGCGAATAGCCTCCTCCACTTCTGCACGTAAACTCGAGGGGTCATTGATAGTATTTTCCAAGGGCTGTTCGATGGGCTGATCCACATTGTTGACTATGTCGATTATCCCATTTTCATTGCCAACAACCACAGTTTCCGGTAGCTTATCAACGTTTTCAGCAAATTTACTGCCATCCAACTGTGATAGATATATGTATTATTAATTGTAAATGTATATAATGGTAGTGTCATTGTTATCAGCTGCCAAGTAGAAACCTGAATGGTATTTTAAGTGAGCCGCGCCCCTGATATGTACAGGTTTATTTACTGATATTTATTACTGATAATACGGCTCTGAAGACGATTGGCCATTAATGAACTGAATTGGTTAATTGATACCACAGTATAATTAGACATATACTGGTCTGTCTTGGTATTGGACTACTATTCAACTGATAACGACTCTGATGTTGATGGGGCTTTTGAGAACTGATTTGGTTAATTGATAACACAGTATAATTTTTTACCTTTTCTTCGGCCGGCTTCGCTTTAGTTAGGCGGTTCTCATCAGTCATTGGGGATGCGACAGCTGCCGAAATATCGTCGGGTAGCTCGTTATCCTTATCAACATTCGGATGATGATGCGGATTCTGTAGCGTATTTTCGCGCCGTATATGGAAAGGCGCCGCTCCTGGTTTCAGGCGCACATCCTTTATGTTAATTAGCTGATCGCCCGGCAAAAATAGTAGAGCAGTAAATATAAATGCTGTGACGGCCATTATGATGAGATTACGTTGACATCTGGGTAACTGATTCCATGACTGCAATTACAAGTCACAAATAAAAACCACAAACCAGCATGAGACACGTAAGCTTGAGTTAGTAAATGATTAGCATACATATATATATGTTAATCAATGCTAATGCAATGATTATTCCAGTGTTTCTGTTATGTCTGTTGCTGATCTAATTTGTTGCTAACCGTAGAAAATTGAGGCCAGACTTACCCGACGGAAACTCCTTCGGGATATATTACTTTCATCGCCGGCAGCTCCGCCTGATAGGCTCGTCACGGATGTCGACGATAGAGTGAGGGCAACGTGGTCGGTGTTTGTCATGTTCGCGTGGATTTTTATTCCCGTTCGATCGAATGCAAATTTATTATAAGATTTTCAAGTGCGAGACAAAAACTATTCCCACTCGCAATCACTTCGAAGAGAAAAAATCGATGGGCATAAGTTGCGACCACATTTATACCTTTTGTAAACTCGACTATGAAACCAACACTAACAATGATTTCTACACATTGCTAGCATTTGGATATCAGCTAGCGAAATGTATATTTGATAACAATTTTCATTTCCTCGGGTTTTTACTGCCAATAGTTTCTTATTTTGGTACTATTGAGAATCTACCCAACACTAAAATTAACCACAGCTGGGGTCACCCAAAAACATTAACATTTGCGGAAATGTTATTAGCTGCAAGCGCTGCTTTATTTAAAAAAGTCTCGATACCCACCTACAAAATATGGTAGCGATTTGAAAATTTGAATCAGAGTATTAATCACAATGGAGTAAATTTAATATTAGCGCACCGAATTATCTGTATCAATGATGCTAACTTAAACATTTTTTTCAAATAACATTTAAGCCAACGATAACAGAGCTGTTAATGTACAGCTGTTGTGCATCGACTATTTTCATCTACCATTCTCTTTCAAGAATTGTAACGGTTGCCGGATGATAAATGTGGGTGAGATGTCGATTGTAGCTGGTAAGTATCGATTCTACAGCGATATCAAACTAAAAATGCATTTGGTAAATAAATAAATCGCCACTTCGGCGGAATATTTAAAATTGTAAAACGATTGTATGAAACGAGCAGGAAATTTATGCTTTCCAGTACACAATAAAACTATAAATAATTATTAATTTAATAATATAGGTGGAATGTCGTATTTGTTTTTCAATTATGTTGAATTATATAAAGATCTGATTAGATTAAAACTACCAGTTGTTTGACAACAAAACCAAATATATATNAATATATATTTATACAAACATACAACCACCTCAGTGGGGTTGATAAGAAGCGAAGGGCGAGGTCAGTTTGTAATATTTGATTATTGGGGATACATAGCTCGATTTCTGATTGCGAGTCAGAAACGAACTTATCACCTACTGGAAATGCAAATAAATAATAGTATATTCAAATGCTTTCACATGTTGTGACAAATATACATATGTAGTTACGGTCTAGCTGTATTGCTTATCGCTGAACTTTTGACACATTTCATGCCGTTGAACATAGAAGCTGGACTATGGGCTACGACGAGAGATAGCTATATATATAGTCTCCGCAGTCTTTGACCATTTAGTTTCAATTTTCTACTGCGACTCGAAAGTATTCAAGATGTTCAAGTATTTGATCGTATGCCTGGCGCTGTGCACATTGGTCTGTAATAAGTGACATTAGTTTCCATTTTTAAAACAGTTTGATTAATTATAAATACAAAAATAAATAAATAAAACAGGGTTATGCTAATGGAGATTGGGTTCCCAAAACTGCAAATGAGATCAAGGAGATACGCGGTGAATGCCTTAAGGCGCATCCCCTGTCCGTTGAGCAGATCAACAAGCTGAAGCAAACTGAATTCCCTGACGAGCCCGAGGTGCGCCAATATCTGCTATGCACTGCCACCAAGCTGGATATCTTCTGTACACACGAAGGTTACCACGCGGATCGACTGGCTAAGCAGTTTAAGATGGACCTCACCGAGGAGGAGGCACTGCAAATTGCCCAGGGCTGCATCGACAGCAATCCTGAGAAAAGCCCAGCAGACGTTTGGGCTTTCCGCGGTCACAAGTGCATGATGGCCAGCAAGATCGGCGAGAGGGTCAGGGCCTACATTAAGGCCAAGCAGGCTGAGGCAGCTGCAAAGGCTTAAGCTCAATAAATTGTCCGTTGTGCTTGAAGGCAAACGCTTTGACGATAAGTTTATTGAATTTTCTGTAAAGGCTACACAATGGGGCAACAAAATTAGACTACATGTGCATTGAACTAGTTTTAAGTGGCTACTGAGCAAGTGATTCTATAAGATGCTTAGGCATCGCCGCCCTCAGTTATGGTCTTCATAGCTGCATTAATGTGCTCTTCCAGCGGCAGATTGCTGTCCAGGGCCGGATTGCGGAAGCTCTCCAGGAAATAGCAGGTTCCATTGCCATTTGAATTGGGAAACTCCTTTGGCAAGAAGGAGGGATCGCGCGGTTGCAGATCGAAGTCGAATCCCTCGTGCTTGGTTAGCCAACTAAACGAATATTGTTATATAGTCAATGAACTCATCAAACTAATTCACAACAACAACTTACTTTTTTGTTGTTGGGCTAACGTTGATCTTCAGTGCCTCGCTGCTCGACTCAAACTTGTTGGCAATGGTCACGTTGTGCCCGAACAGACAGTACCTTGGCATTTTGCGACCGACAACGCCCGCCAGCACTGTGCCAGTGTGCAGGCCGATGCGCATTTTGATTTGCTCTCCATCGTGTGTGATGTGCTTGGAGCAAGCACCGAGCATCTTCAGCGCCATCCAGGCCACCTTGTGGGCATCGTAGATAGAGGCCCGATGCAATCCGCTTGCCACACAATAAGCATCTCCAATTGTCTCCACCTTGTACACGTCAAAAAAGTCGCAGAATTCATCAAAGTCCTTGTACAAGCGCTCTAGCATGCTGATGACCATGAATGGCGTGGCCCGGGAGCAAATGCTGGTGAAGCCAACAATGTCGCTGAAGAGTATGGTCACATCCGGATAGGTCTTGGCATCAATCGAAGAGCCCAGCCACAATTTCTCGGCGATCTCAGCCGGAAAGATTAGGTGCAGGAGGCTGACGTTCTTCTTGCGCTCCTTAGTTACCGCCGAGTTAGCCTCTTCAATACTGCTCTTTAGCTTATCCATGCGACGACGTAGGCCATCCTGAGCACGTGCTTGCTCGCCTACTAAGATTACCTCGCGTGTGGCATCGTGCAATGGAATGTCTGAGATGAAGAGCCCATTGCAGGTCAGCCCATCCAAGCCGTCCAAGAAGGGCGAACCAATAAATAGCAATGAATTTGATTCCGGGCAGTGTACCATTTGGCCCTTAATCTCCAAGCCGATAGCAGGAAAATCGGATACTCCCGGCGGGCTGTTTAGCCCGATTAGAAAAGGCGTGTAGGTACGCCGCACAATGTCTCGAAATTTCATGGTCAAGCCTTTGGGACGCTTAAAATCGAAGTATGTGGTAGCCTGGCAGCCAAAATCCGCAAGATATGGCTTATAGAGCTTGCTGAATCCTCGCCCGAGCTGCACCAACTCAAGCTGTTCGTTCATGATGAAGTGCCAGGGGAACATCTTACAGAAGCTTGACGAGTTCATTTGCAGATCAGATGCGTTGGCCGAGTTACTGCGTGGCACCTTCTCAAGCAATTTTTTGGGCTCCTCAGGTCGCTCCATTTGCAAAGTCTGAGAGTTGTCCTTGACCAAAGAGAATAAATAGCGATATCGACGCGCATCACCCTCCACCGGCTCAATTTTAATGTTGACATCCACCTTATATAGCATGCGAGTAAGTGCCTTGAGGGAGCCGAGCAATAGCCAAGCTATTACCGGACGTTCCGAGGTGAAGATCAACTCACCATCGCCCGCACACACAAAGCCCGTATCGGTGACATCGTCCTGTGCAAGGAGAGCAGTAAGCTTGTATAATTTTAAACGTATCTTATTACAATTTACTAACCTCTTGCAATTTTAAAACATCGTAAACACCATCCAGCGAGCCCAAAAACTCTTGAAGGTCGGTGCCCAGACAACGGAAAGCTCGTTCGATGATGCCAGTGCAGCAGCACGTGATCAGCTCCTCGCCAAGTAGGACAAGGATTTCGCTGGCGCTGGCCTCATCCATCTTTAAAAGCAACTCTTGTATGTCCGCCAAATAATCATAGTTGCTGCAGTTTTTGAAGAACTTCGGATCCAGTTTACTGTGAATCAATGGCTTATATAAACGTGGATGCCCAGCTGCGTAATCTTTTGGAACTCACAGCTTATGAATGTTTGGCCAACTCTGTCGGTACTTGGCCACCAGCGAGGTGACGGCCGAATTGAGATCCTCGTTCGACGGTGCTGTCAGCAGCTGTATGGCCATCTGCAGATGGGTCAAGGTCAACGCATCGCCAGCTAGCGACAGATCTTCGTCCTCCAAATTCCAATGAGCGCCCGGCTCAACAGTGACCGATGGCTGGCGCGCCAGCGAGTCGGCGCGACGAAAGAAAGGACACGCCATATTGCGTGCGACTACTATTGAAAATTCGCCCTGGCTATGATGAATTGAGCGCTATTGGCCAAACCTATTTGGAGTATTAATGGTTCGATTTGAACCAGTTTAATTAATATTATTAAAAGTAGGTCACTACGAAATGTCATCGCACAGAAAAGTTAATTAAGATCGATATCAGTAGATGTACATATTTATATTCTCGGATTGTGATGTCAACGTTGAATGATATGCAAAACGTGGCTCAAGTTCAACGGGCACTTATGTACGTATATGCAGTCGTCCGCCTGTTGTTGCGTTTTATTGTGTGCCACCCACCCACTGGCCTATAAAATGACGCCCCCTGTTGCCCTCTCGCCAGTCTTGAGTGGCTGCTGGATTCTCCTTCACTCAGTTGTTTTCTCGTCCACGTTCCGGGAGGTCGATTGTGTGTGCACTGAGCATGTGCCAAGGTTCGCACTTACTTTTCTTAAAGAGAAACCCATTAGCATAATGCAATTTCAGTAATGTAATACTTTTGCGACTTATGAGCGGGTGGTCAGCTTTCATTTCTGTGCCGCCCCCCACATTTAACAGTCCTGAGCTTTTTTCCTTTGGCAGCAAGCATAGGTACTACCTTTCTATGTAAAACCAAAATAACTTGGTCCGACCAGCATTTATAGCTGTTATAATACAACATTTTCAAGGTGAAATACATAAAAAAGGATGTAGATATAAAATTAAAATAACAATAATATATAAATTAAATGTATTGATTCAACTGAATCGTCCGATTTAAAGTATACTTTTAGTGTCCAAAATATACAATACATCGAAGTGCCCGTGCTAAATAAGCGGATACCTTTTCATAATGGATACACAATTTTTTCAGCACTGGGCAAGGACTCGGACATCAGACATATTTCATTTGTCTCTTACCTGCTGCTTGATTGGCAAGTTTTACTTGATTAATAATACCTTTTATGCAATTTTCACTTCAATTTAAATCTCTGTATAGGCGTATAAGAATTTAATTAAAAATTCCCGCAATACCCTTAGAGTTTTTTCGCACGCCTGAAAAATGCCACAACTTAAAATGGAATAAGCTTCGGTTGGCATCAACGACACAGAAAAAGCTTACATTAGCATTTGCTGGAGCTTTAAGCTTCTGTCTTGCAGTGAAAGTGTGCAGAGATTGTTGCATTGTTTTGGCATTCCTATCAGTAGGGCAGTTAGAGAGAGAGGGAGAGAGAAAACTTGCGTGCGCTACCACAGTTTGATATGAGTTGAGCGACTATACGCATGGCTTTCTCTAAGCGTGAAGTTTACCGTTGGCAAAGGTTTAAGAGCGTCCTATGTACCGAGCGCTGTAGCGTACAATTCAACTAATTAACCTGTTGCGTGAGTAAAAAGCCCATATAACTCTGCTCTTCTCTGCCTACTGAGTGTGCTAACTCTCTGCCCTACTCTCATTCCTCACTCTCTCTATCTCTGTCTCTCTTTTTCTCTCTCTGTTATTCTTTTGTTGCCGTGCTTTTGAGGTGAAACCAACAAATACAAGTAGCTTGGCCGCAGTTGTTTGTGTATCTGGCAGAATGCTGCTTATGCTGCACGTGGCCTGCCGGCTCTCACCGCTCGCACTCTCAATATTCGCACACACTGGGAGCGGCGGGTGAACGCAATCAAAGTCGGTGCCAGTGTAGCGTCCAGCAAACGGCAACGGGAAAATTATACGAATTGATTCAGTATATTGACGTTGGTCAAAAGTGCGCAACGTGTTCTACCGTGACGAGTGGACAGTTTTTGTTTGGTTTAATTAGGGGGAGGCTTAATAGTTCCATCGTGCGAAACGGCAGCTTGCTCTAATATTTGCAATAGTACCTATTTAAGTGACTACTCAGAAATTTGACATACAGCCAGAGCTCCAATTATGGGACATATAATGCAGTTCGTAAGTGTTTCATGCAGTTAATCTTAATTTAAAATTTAATTCTGGTTTTCAGTGTATATGCACACATATGTATGTATAGAATTACATATACAGAAATGTGATCTGCAGTTGGATTTGCATTGCTTTGTTTGCCTTTGAATTATTTTGTATTTCTTTTGATTACGATATGACTGTCAGTGCGTCCGTGTGTGTGTGGGAGTGGGCTTGCATTACATTGTGGATGCTTTATCTAACTGCAAAAATGTATATACAGAGCTTTTGTCCTTGACCTTGCTCACTTCATCTCTCATAGTCTGCTCTCTATTGCTTTTCTCAATTTTCTCACCCTCTTTCTATGAAAAGCTCACTGATGAAAAGTAAAAGTTTCTTATCACGTTTCTCACATATTATGCAAATTAATTATACGCACGTTTCTTTGCAGAAGTTGCTAACTTATTAATCTAATCACCTATAATAATGCGACCGATTGTGGGAATATTATCGCCTTTTCTATATTTTTGGATTACAGCTAATCATTTCGAATTTTTTGTTTGACTACTTATCTTTAAGGCCACAGTTCAAGCCTTGCAGCTAGCACCATTTTTTATTAGTTTGGTGCTTTATTTTTCGCTGGTGCGCAAAGATCCAGAGGGTGAACTATGGACAACTGTGCTCAAATGCTTGCCCATAGTGGCATTGGTGTTTTATGTTTTGATCAAGGGATTTTCGCTTAACAAGCAGTAAGCTTTTTCTCATCTTGTTTTCATTAAGCGCTTTTTACTTAAATTATATCCAACTTTTTTTTAGATTTCGCCGCTCACAATTAATTCTGCTTGGCTTAGTGTTTTCATGCGGCGGCGATGCTTTACTCAATGTTAATCTGTTTCCCTTCGGAATGGTTTCCTTTGGCGTGGCGCACATTTTCTACATAAGCGCATTCGGTTGGCATCCGCTTAAGTGGATCATCGGAGTCTGTCTTTATGTGCCGGTTATTGTTTGTGAGTATTTATTTCTTAAAGTAAATTGTTAATTATAATTAATTTATTCTTTGTCTGCATTGCAGTTGTTGTTTTTGTGCGCAAATACTTGGATGATATACTCGTGATTGGTGTACCCATCTATTGTGTCCTGATTATCACCATGTTGTGGCGTGCCCTGGCACGAGCTTTTGATACGAAGAGCTATTTGGCCAGCTTCTGTGCCTTTGGCGCTGTCCTGTTTGTGATATCGGATGCACTGATTGCAGTTACCATGTTCTTGAGTGTAGAGCTGCCCTCGCCACGACTGCAAATCATGATCACCTATTATGCTGCTCAGTTTGCCATTGCGTTGAGCACTTCCGATGACGGACTGTTGCCGCCATGTAAGAACAAAGACAAATAATGTTGTCAATTGCTCAATTAATCTTTTAAACGCAACCACCAAAATATGTACTTCCAAAATATTAGAGTAGTTGTTAAAGCTATTTAGTTGTGATACCAATTATTTGTTAAAAATAAATATCAAACATTTTAAATCAATTTCAAACACAACGGACTTCTTTTGTTTGCATACACTACGGTTTTATAGCAGTCAGAGCCATGTAGCGCAACACAAACAGAGCTGCATGTGATGAAATGAACGCTAGGGTGACCATTGCACGCGTTTATGTTGACATTTTCTGGTCATTTTCATTACCGCTTGACTCTAGCGGCTTGGAATCGTACTTGTTATTTGTTAATATATTATTTTAATCACAGAAAATGGGTCCGTCGGAGTTTAAGTTAAACAATCCCCCCGAGGACCTTATCTCGGCTGTCAAATTTGGTTCCAAATCCAACCAGTATATGGCAGCATCATCTTGGGACGGAACGCTTCGCTTCTACGATGTGGCGGCAAACTCAATGCGCCAAAAATTTGTACAGGATGCTCCTATCTTGGATTGTGCGTTCATGGTTTGTTTCATACACTTATTCATTATGAGTGGAACCGTAACTAATTACACTTTTGACAGAATATTGTACATGTGGTGAGTGGTGGCCTGGACAATCAACTTCGGATGTACGATGTGAATACTCAAGCTGAAACTCTGGTGGGTTCTCACGATGACCCCATTCGCTGTGTGGAGCATGCGGAGTATGTCAATGGCATCTTGACCGGCAGCTGGGATAAGACAGTCAAACTCTGGGACATGCGCGAAAAGCGCTGTGTTGGCTGCTTTGAACAGAATAACGGCAAGGTTTACTCCATGTCTGTAATTGATGAAAAGATTGTGGTGGCCACATCCGATCGTAAGGTTTTAATATGGGATTTGCGTAAAACGGATAGCTATATTATGAAGCGCGAGTCATCATTGAAGTATCAAACGCGCTGTATTCGTTTATTCCCTAATAAGGAAGGTTATGTCATGTCCTCTATTGAGGGTCGTGTGGCTGTTGAATACCTCGACCACGATCCTGAGGTGCAACGTCGAAAATTTGCATTCAAATGCCATCGCAACAGAGATAATAATATTGAGCAAATCTATCCAGTTAATGCGGTTAGTTTTCACAATGTTTATCACACGTTCGCCACCGGCGGATCCGATTGCATCGTTAACATTTGGGATGGCTTCAACAAGAAGCGTCTATGCCAGTTCCACGAGTATGACACATCTATATCATCACTTAACTTCAGTGCCGATGGCAGCGCCCTTGCCATTGGCTGCTCATACTTGGATCAATTCACAAAGACGCCTGATACAGTGCCTAATCCGGCCATTTATATACGCTACCCGACTGACCAAGAAACAAAACAGAAATAGCCATAAGTATTTGTAATTAACTCTTGATCAACTGATTAAATGCTTATCGATTATAGTTTTGAAGTTATTTGAGCATACGCATCCTTGAGCAGAGACCACAAAAGCCGAGATACTATGTAGCCCAGTTCGACAAAGCTCAGGGTCGATGCACCCACATAAAGACCTAGGACGCCACCAAAGGCAGCGACCCAGTCGACAAAATTGTACTTTAGCTTGGTTTCAATCTTCATCAAAACCCGCTGGCCATAATAGATCTCTGCCCTGATTCGTTTTGAGATTGTGGTATTTGTCGCATTGAAGCTGGAGTGGAAGAAGGCACAGCATAAGGCTGAAGAAGCTGAACGGTAAATTATGACTTACTAATCAAAGCGACGCACATTCAGATACGTCTGGTATAGTTGAGTGTTGCAACTGTCTAGGCAGGGGCAGACCAGACCCCGTCGTGGGTCCTTAATATATTTATCCTGGTCAATGGTTTTCACATACCCAACGACATCCGTGTGGCGATGAAGGCATGCAAAGTCCAGCACAGTGCACTCCCTGGTATCGTCTTGGAGAGAAATGGAATTGGTTATCAATGGCGTGACATCTACTCCAGTTTTTGTGCTTACCTATATCTGGCAAGTACAGAGGCATGGAGCAATTACAAGCATCAATCAGAGCCCACTGTAAGCAAGTGAAAATGCAATTGGTGCGACTGTAGGGTAGATCCTTATACGGGTAGTAGGGATGTCGCTCGTGCTGATATAATTAGGTTAGCCGATGTTAGTTAGCAGAAATTTGTGCACCTACCTCAAAGTAGCACCGTCGCTTGACCGGATCCATTAACTTCGTGTTCTTGGACGTTTGGATGACCATCGGATCTATTGACACAAAGTTTTCAGTGTTTTCATAGAGATGGTAGTTCATGTTGTTTGACCATTGATTGGACTCCTTGATCATTAGCTAAAAGACAAGATTTGCTCAGTAATATTCATCAGCCAAGTTATAAAGACTCGATGTATCCACCTACATTCATAGAAAAGGGCACCTGGGTGCCAGCGCGCAAGAAGGTATCATTGAGGTGCAGCATAAACTGGAGGCCAGAGCCCTCGCCGGCTGTGCTTATCTTGAAGGGATAAAACTCACTGACCAGCTTCTTTTTGCGCGATTCTTCGGATATCAACGAGTTAAAAACCAAGCAGACGCCTTTCTCAGTGTACTCCGGCACAAACAGCTGACAACATTCGTATTTGGTTTCATCGAAGAAACAGGAGTCCGGCTCGAAGAGCTCATCGCAGCGGTAGGCCAAATAACTGGCCAGCTTGATGAGGCTCACGTTCGCCAGCGCAGTGAGATTTCGCTTGGATAGCGCGCCGAGTGTTTGAAACTTACCAAAGTTGAGCTGCTCCATTTGAATGAGTAGCTGGTGAAAGGACTCACGCGTGTATGAGTCAGCATTCCTGGGCAGGAAGCGGTGTTCAGCCGTTGAGGCGCGCAGCCAGTTAACATGATTGAAGGGACAAATAGCAACCGACGGAAATTGAATATTATAAACAGGAAACTGTGTCGTCTCCACCACGCTGACCAGCTGCTGTGCACTATGCTGATGCTTCAACAGGGAGAAGATGACCAACAATCCCATCGTAGCTGTCAGCACGACAAGAAGCCAAAAGTAGCGAGCGCAAGCATGCTTCTCCTCAATGACATTCTGAATGCCATGGATCGTCGAGTGGGCAAACTCTCTGCGCAGCATCTTCTCATACTTTTGCCGCAGCTGCTGCGTCCGGAATCTCTGCAGACCCTGGGTGAGCTTGGCACGCGGCGCCACGAGCTCCTTTGTGTACAGCAACATGGTCAATGAGCCGAGACCTGTGAAGCGCTGTCAGGCTTGCGCTTAAGTTTTTATTGATTATTAATAAAGGTGCGTGGGCGTGGCTAAGTAAAATAAGTATGATTACTCTATATATGGCAATTGAAACTTTTATTAGTGAAAATTACAAAATTGCTGGTCAATCGAAAGTTAAAGCTATAATTTATGATTTGGGTGCCAGGCTTTGTTGCACCAGCTTCAGGTGATTCTTAAGCAGACAGTCAGCGCCGCGATAAGCCCATTCGCAAGCGTTTGATCCCTGCTCGTTTTTGTCCAAACAGGCCTCAATCTGGCCGTGCAGCACATCGTCGTGGTTGGCATGGCCACGGCTCAGCTGCGTATGAATGTTCTCCACATTATAGCCAGACTGGTTGTCGAACAGCCCGAACTTGGTGAAGACGCACTTCAGATAGCACTGAGTCTGGGCATCATTGGGATAGACCCATTTCTGGTATTGCTCGACGAGCTCATTTGGTATTTTCAGTTCCTTGACGCATGCCTCACGATAGCTCAGCATATCCTCTTTGTTCTTGATCACATACTCAGATGAGACCTGTGAATGAGTAAATTGTACAATACACTGATCGCTTTAACACGCTTCAAGCCACTCACCAAGCCAATCAGCATGCAGATGGCAACGAGATATTTCATTTTGATTCCTTGCGTATGTTCGGCTCGACGATCAAGCATCGACTGTGAGAAGTCGGGGCCTACACAGCCGATATTTATACCTGTCGTCGTCGACTATCAGCTTCGTCTACCTACTCTTAAAGAGGTCACCATTTCTCATAACAGCATAACAGCGAATTGAATATTCTCTTTTTTGGTTGGATAATAGTTTTATATTTCTTAGCATTTCTGGAAATATTGGTCTCTTAATTTTTAAAGACCTAAAGAGCTGAAGCTAATACATTCTAGTTGGTTCTTCTTCTTGCGTTGCTTTTAGTGCTCTGTTAATTTTCTTTTTTATATGAAATAAAATATTCTCAACCCTTCAAATATTGAAAATATAATTTCTCCACATACATAAGAGAGCAATTGCATTATTTATATATTAGCTGAAATGCACTTACTACATAATTAATAAGTCTAATGTCATTAGAGATTAGTATAGTTAATGGATTTACTACGATTCACCTACTGTTTAAGGATTGCTATTGATTATGAAAATAAACTGAATTAAACAATTCAATAACTTATATATTTCTTTAACAGAATAAACTACACTAATTTCAAATTTGTTTAAGCTTAATATATAATAATAGAAATTCTGAAGTTGTCTTCTAAATATTTAAGTTTAAATTAGGCAATTAGCTCGAGAATGTTATTAAGAAAGGTTCAACGTTTGCTTGGTCACCTATTGAGTTGAGGAGGCCTGCGATTGAAATCTTTTTCATCGGGTCAAAGAATCTTCACGTATTTTCCTGAGGATAATTTTTGTGGATAAGTGGAGTCTCATCAATGCGCACTCATAGTCGTTGCAGTTGCGCGCCTTGGGAATTTTCCACTGGAACGACAGGTAGCTAAAAAATATACTCAATAAGACAATGCGTTTAAGGTTTCTTGTTCTCTTTCTCAATTTATTTCGTTCTCCTCATCCCTATTATTCGTTCATGTTCTTTTGATTACAGGTAACAGCAGGAGAGGCTCTTTTAACTTCGGGGTCAGGTTTAATGGGCTGTGATGTGGGTTTGCTGCAGCAAGTAATGCGATCCAATAGGCTGTTTATGGCTCCGACCACCGATAGACCCAAAAACAAACCAGCTATGCCCCCATACGAAACTATGGAATAATTAAAACAATGAGAAACTAAGAAAAGGCTTGGAAGATCCACATAAAAGACCTCACCCATCAAGTCAAGCATTGTTATGTGCAGAGTGGAGCGATACGAGAAAAGAGTCTCCTCCTGAAAGTAGACGTCAATCTCAAACTGATTATCTCTGCTGTCGGCGGTGCTCAGGCGATCCGTGAATGTAGTTGCATGATACTGAGTGTGGTCACAGGTGGGATAGCACTTGCAATGGGTGGTATTGAAGACACTGTCCTTAGACTCCTCAATTATGTTGCTCATGTAAAAGAGTGAAACTTTGCGAATTCGTTGATTAACTTACATTCTAACACTGCCTGCCAAATAGTTACCTCCGTTCTTTTGCATGCACAGCAAATCCGCAGTTGTACACTGGCGCATGGGTTCCTCATGTGTCTGGTCTATATTGATTGGAAATAGTTTGTGAGTACAGTTACACTTCCTGGATATGTAGGTGATATGGCATCTGACTATGCACTCTGAATAGGACTGCTTCAGCTCGTCCATAAAATAACAATATCGCATATTCACGGGGCGTGCCCTAACAGCCGGCTCGGCCGTAAAGTGACGCGGCTGCAATCCGACTACGATCCGATCATCTGTGGAATACGTCACACTGGAACCCACATACTGGCCTGGCTCTTGTACTATGACCTGAAGAAAGCAGAATTTAGGTTCCATTTTTAAGAGAAATAATTAAAATAAAAAATTGTGTTTGTCTGTTTGGGCTACAGGCGCATAACTTGATATTATTTATTAAAAAAAAAAAAAAAAAAAAAAAAAAAAAAAATTGAGCTTCCATTCCAGTTAATAAATATTGATTATTCTCAATTTTAATTAGGCTTAGTCATAATAAAAAAAAAATTGAACCAAATTGTTTCCATTTAATTATTCGGTTTTCAGTTTTTGAAAACTTTTTTGTATGTATGAAAGCCTCTTAAAAATTGCTATTGGATAGCGTAGACAAATGATGATGATGATACATTAATTTCCCTGATTTCCCTTAATAATACTTCACTCATTCCACTTTTTTGTTTGTTTACGTAATATGCAGTTAGTTCCGATAATGAAATGGAAGTGATATAACATTTTCGGTATCAATTTGCGATATGATAAACAGTGAGTTCTAGACAGATTGTTATTTACATTATTTAAAATTGTATTTTGGGTTACTTACCCCTAAGGCCGTTAGCCTGATTCCGTTTATAAAGCGATTAACCTTGATACTTAGCGCACTTTTGAGACCAGAATCGGCCACAGACCAGGGCCATGTGGGATCGGCATCTTCGACGAGCACCGAGTTGAAGACATAGCAGGAGCCCACCTGCAGCCTTCGGAACAGCAAGCTGCAGCAATCCACTTCTTGGCGGCGCCAAGTGCACTCCAAAAACAAATCCTTGCAGGTGTAGCCAAAGTCGAAGATAGGGTCTGGGTAGAGCAACGATCGGTTATTAAATTCCTCGAATTCACTAGTGTTCAAATGTGTGGAATGGCCCATTGGGGTGCGCCAATGAATACTCTGCATTAGATTATAGAGCAAAATTATTCGCTGCTCTCTGGCATTCATGAGCGTGCTGGGAGTCATGTGGGCGGGGCAAATGGTGATGGCTGGAAAGGCAATCTCCGAGACGTGAACGTCGGTGCGATCGATTGTGGTCTGCACCCAGTACTGGAAGTAGCGTTCCGAGGATAACATACAGACGTAAATGGTCATCCCAAAGGCAACGAACATTAGTACGATACGAGTTAGGCTGAGGATAGCAATTGCCAACTGAAGAGTTAAGGCCGTAATTTAGTTTATTAAGTGCTTACCGCCTGATGCAGAAGCATTTGTCCTTTAGCCTAACTGGTAGCTTGTCATCATCATTGTCATTGGCATTGTCATTGCAATCAGACAACTTAATCACGGGACCCATTTCGATGAACTGATTGGCGGGCGTGGCAGTTAATCAATGAACAGCAGCACCTGTATTAATATCGCAAGATTATGGCTCTGCATCTATCTGTCAAAGGGCTTATCAGCCAATTGAAACATAACAACTCAATTACAAGAATTGTTAGCATTAATGGATGCCCAAACATACTTTCAGCCCAATGTAATTACCAGGCGAAACCTATGCGAGAATCGCCTAAATAAAGCCAGAACACGCTGTCCGTCCGTCAGTAGCAAAATGGTTCAAGTGACGAGCGCTGACATGCCAGCGGATAAGGATAAGGATGGGGACAAGAGCTTCCTGGAGCTGGTGCGCAGCTACTTTCGGTATTATTGTGACCGGTCTACAATACACTGTGTGCGCTATCTGTATGACGTCCAGCTACATAATATGGAGAGGTGCTGCCTCTACCTCTGCCTCTACATTCAGACCCTTATTCATTCATTGACATACTCTCTATGCAGACTCATCTGGGGCGTGCTGCTCGTCACTAGCGTAACGCTGTGCTGTTCCTTCTATATGCTGCTCTCAGAGCGCTATGGTGCACAGAAGCTACAAACGGTTATTGAGGACTCACAGTATCCGGTGTTCCATGTGCAGTTCCCAGCTGTTGGTGTCTGCACCGAAAATCGCGTCAATTGGAGCAAGCTGGAGGCCGCTAAGGCACAGTTTCTGCCCGCCAATGCGAGCGAGGATGTCGTTGAGGCCTTTGTCACGCTGGTCAAATATATGACGATGCTGAGATTCGATAATTTTGAGTTTAGTACTTCCGAAATGGAGGATACAAACTTTGAGATTGTGGATTTCGTTTCGCTCATTTCGTTGGCAAATTTTCTGGTATTGCGCTGTGAGGATATTCTGGTGCCGGACTCCTGTCAGTGGCGGCAGACGTCCTTTAACTGTTGCGACTACTTTCTGCTCGAGAAGACGGAGTATGGCTTGTGCTTGGTGTTTAACTCGGAGCTATCGTACCGCTCACAAATGCTTGTTAAGCGCGAAGGCCCTGCCTTCTATCCAAAACACAATGCCAAGGCGGGTCAGAGCTCCGGTCTGAACTTCAATTTATTGCTTAACGACAGCTTCAAAAGCCCAGACTCGAGAGTCACGGACAATGTTTTTGTGAATAGATTGCACCGTTAATTGAGTTAGCACTTTCCACTTAATTTAGCAATTTGCAGATCATGATCAAACCGCCCACCCAGATGACGAACGTCGTCTACTCCATTAGGCCCAACACAGAGACCCATGTGGCGGTGCGACCTCAGAGGACGCGCACTGACTACAACACACGGAACATACCGCCGAAGCGTCGCAATTGCTATTTCGAGGACGAGGAAATTGACTTTGGCATGAGTCGACTTAACAAGAGTGCCCTGATCTCCAACTGCCGCACCAACTGTCATGAGTCCTATCTGGTCAGGCTGTGCAATTGCTCGCTGCCCATTTTCTTTGCGAGAAATGAAAAAGGTGAGCTTATTGCTGACTTCTCTCTGTAGCTTACTTATGACACTTTCCTGGACTGCAGTCAGGAACTGCACGGCCTCTAGCCTGCGCTGCATTTCGCGTCACAATGGTGAGTCCAATGCCTCGCCTACAGCATCAGTAATGGATAATAATGCCTCTTGCAGATATTTTCAGCTACGACAAACATTTGGAGGAAGACAGTTACTTCACCGCTAGTAAGCCGGGCATGAGCTGTCCCTGTCTGGTCAGCTGCGATTTACTGGAGTACTTTACCTCCACCACCACGCTGCCCCTGTCCCCAATGGAATTGTACTGCTGATTTACATAAATCTATAGTCAAAATTCTCTTAACTCTATTCCTATGCTATATAGGCCCGCGTCGTCAGCCCTAAAGGTTTTCAAGGTGGACGTGCACTATCAGGTGGATATGATGATAACGTATCGCACTAGCCTCGAGTTTACCAGCATTGACTTGATTGGTATTCCTTTCACCTTACACTATATACACATTTATGAAAACTTTCCTAATTCAGCTAATCTTGGTGGCATTTTTGGGCTCTGCCTAGGCGCTTCGATGGTCAGCGGAGTTGAGCTAATCTACTTCTTAACTGTGGGCTTTGCTGTGTACCTATACGATAACAATTACTACGCCATCCTACGTAAGAATCTGCAAAATAAATGGACCATGGGACTGCGTTACTTGCGTAACGAAGTGAGCCACACCCGCCAAGAGGCGCACCCTGCGGATCCAAAGTTGAAGAGTAAACTGCGACATCCGTTTAGTAGCAGAGCCAACGTCTGGTGAATATTATTTATTTAGTAAACAATGTTTAAATGATTTATTGGATTTTTCTCAAAGTTCAAGTGAAGTCATATTTGTCTATATATGTTGAACTCTACAAAAAGATTGTAATTCTAAGTGAATATGAAAAACTTCATTTTAACATTACTTTTTTATTTGAAGATTAGATTAGTCTAAATTAAAGTTTTATATCTAAAAGCAATCTAAGGATGAGGATTAGATTGCATTTAAGTACATCATCTAGAATCAAACTTCTATATAAATATAAATTAATGCACAAGGGATGTACTAACAATTATTATTTATTCAGTTTTTGGCATATTATATATTAATATATTATGTGGAATTGATTAGGGTCGCAACTATAAAAGAGTATACGTAGTTCGTCTTGCGTCTAAAGTCAACACATTTCAGTTTCTTTTGTTTTTGTCATATTACGATGGATCACATTGAGAAAAGTTTGTCATGCAAGTTAGATAATCGAAAAAGCTAATGACGATTATGATGATTATGTTGATGCATTGGCCTTAATATATGTTAACTATAGTTCAACATTATTCAAATTGGAACCGGACGATGAAGGCAAATCCACATCACTGGGCGGCACAAAGGTGCCTTTGGTTTGAACCCCCTCGTGCTTGGCGCTAAGCTTTAACATCTCCGATTTGAGTTTATCAAGAATGGCATAGTTTGGTTGATTAACAGCCGCCTTGCTCTGTAGCACAGTAATCTCCTGTTCCTCGAGCTTCTTCTCCTTAAATGTTTTGATCGAATTGTTGCCATACAAACGCAAAAGCGAGCCCCACGTCTGAATATGTGGGTGTAAAATCTATAAAATATGGAAATTTAATTCATTTTTATATATTTTATACACATATATAGGCTTAAGTTTACCTGCAGTATAGCCTGCGATGCCAATTGCTTGCCCTCGCGTTTGTTCTTGCAGACAACCTTCGCCGTGTGCTTGCCCACGGTCATAGTGAATTCGTTTTTGTTATTTGCCGTGCGATTGATCTCTTGGGTGATCTGAACATCGCTGCCGTAGTTACGCTGCAAGCACGTCAACAAAATGGCATTGGGTGAAGGCTCTGTCGTCTTATTGCAGAACTCGGTCACTCGTGGATCCTCAATACGAATGTCATCGAAGACCTATAAATAGATAGAGAGAGAGAGACAATTCTTAGTTGCATATATTTTCTCTTTTCATTGCAGACTCTTACAGATAGATCACTTTGGGTTTTCTTGGCAGTGCCAGTCTTCGAATCCTTATTGTTGCCTGTGATTTTATCCTTAACATCGGGTATGAGTATCTCCAGTGTTTCGCGCGCTGCCTCCGACTTGGCTTGCTTTTTACTGGTACCATATCCGGTGCCATACTTGAGATTATTAACGGAAACGGTTGCTGAATAAGGCGTAGCTGCGTTCTGCAGCTCTTTGAATTCATAAGTGGGTTGCGTCTTTAGCGCATGCTGTACATACTCATGCAGTATGCACACAAAGCTTTTGCCATTGGGGTTCATGATCCACTCCTTGCGTCCTCGCGTATTTGTACTACCCTCCGAGCCGCTGGCCGCCAAAATGGGGAACTTGATGAGCTTGGTGCCATCGGGTAGCGTTGGTCGTTGTATATTCTTAATATGCTTCCGATTCTTCGTGAACTTGCGCCGTGCATTCCAACTGCGAAAGCGCAGCACGCGTATCTCCTTGAATCGGAAGAGTTTCTGGCAGTATTTGTTCAGCTCCTCCGGTGTCACCGACTCCTTCTGTGTGTTCTCATTAACGGTGACGATTTTAGCAGCCGGTATAAGTGCCTGGAGAGCTCCAGCTCCAGCTCCAGAGGCTGCTTGATCACTTTTAGACTCCACAGCAGTATCGCCTTTTTTCTCCTTGTCATCCACTTCCATAGCCTCCGGGGTGGCTACGTTGCCATGCGCCACTGGACAAACGCCAGCGGGCGATTCGTGACTGTTACTGGTCTCTGCAGAAGGCTGTGCCGTATTGTCTGCGCTAGCTGCCCGTTTCGCCTCCGCTTCCTCCTCCAGTGCACGTTGATAGTTCAAACACGGTATGGCTCCCAGCGGCACGGCATGCTTGCGTGCACTGCCCGTGCCCAGAAAATATGGTCGCGAGGCTGAGCAGACACGCGTCTTGCGATGTAGAAACAGGGGCATGCCGCTATTATGTGTCACCTGTACCCAGCCCTCGGGCAGTACCTCAAAGTGATTATGGCGCTTCTCTAAAAAAGTATGAACAAAATTAAATGGGATTAGCTTAATCTATATATTTATTTTTATGATCTATCCACTTACCTTCCAGCACAGTCTTGAAGCGCTGCTCGTACTTTGGACGCTTGGACTCACGCAGATCGTCGGGCAGCTTTTCATCCAAAAGATTCTCAATTTCCTCATCGTTGAAATCCGAGGAATCATAGTCGTCACCCTCAGCGTCATCATCATCGCCGCGCTGCTTATCATCTGCGGAATGTAAATACTTATTACTTATTTTTAATTTTGATCAATTTAAGAGTGTAAAATAAAACCTGATCCAAACGTTAGTCTTTCGTGATGTTCCAGACGCAAAATGGGTATCATGCGCATCTTTTCAAGCTACGAGTTTAGACTAGTTTCACATTGAGCTGCAGTTGCCAGCGAGTTCGGAATGTTTTAAGCAACTGCGCTCGCTCGATAAAGCGAATCTTGCTGGCAACTACAGTGAATTCATGCTTGAGCGGACAGTTTTGAATTAGAGTGCTTAGGGTGAAGCCTCTTTTCGTTATGATAGATTTACACTGTACACGTGCTTTATCAGCCTCCATGGCATATTATTTACACAATGATAAGCACCGGTAAGATCAACAGATAAGACATGTAGAAGCTGCTTCTTTCAATTTTATGACTAAACACCATGTGCCCTGGATAGTCGGCAAATATGCCTGTTCCTCTACATGCAGTAAATCTCTTCGTTTCTTCTTATCGCTCACCTGAATCATCATCATCACTGGCTGTGCCCACCTCGTCCAGCACCTGAAACTGCCTAAGCTGTTGATCAATTGGCTCCGAGAGCAGCTCAGCATCACGGGTCTGACGCATCTCCTCAATGGCGCTGAGCGAGAAGCCCGCCACCTTCAGTGCCTGCTCCTCCTCGTCCAGGCGTGGACGCTTACATGCGGACTGTGGCCCCATTAGGCCGGTCTCTTCGGCTTGCTTCAATTTAGTGTCTGCCATTTGAAATATTGTGTGCTTAAAATCTATGCTATTTAATTCAGAGTTTATATCATATATTTGATGGTTTCGTTTCTTATAGCTGTGTTTGAGCTCTTCTGGCCAATAACCAATATTGAGAACATCCAACGATTTCGAATTGATTTTTCATTGGAGGTGCCACATTGGTTAAGCTAGAAAACTCAATCGTTCGCTTTGTCGTCGAGGGTTCACCTCCTCTCAGCTCGGATTTCAAACGCACTTCACATCATAATTAGAGCATGCATCAGCATAACACGTTTTCATTATTCTTTTCATTATTATTTTTTTTTTTTTTTTCAGTAATTGTATTTGTTGTTGCAAGTTTTGGTAGCCGGCTTCGATCTAGAAGCTGCTTTCGCAATGGATTCTGTGCTGAACAAAAACCAAGGCAAAAGTTGCTTAGCCTGACTCACTGTGTTTATTTTAATAATTATAGATATTTATATAAGCGTAATAGTTGTATAAAATTAAGTTACAAAGGTATTAAATGCACCAACGACGACCACGCTCAGACATTTTGCCGAAGAGGACAGCTGATCGGTAGCAGCGCTGCCACTATGCTCAAATTTCCCAGTAAATTTCCACTCGTTTATCAGAAAGGCGCTTTACGTTCAAAAGTAATGCGTGTAATTGTCGTATTAGCCGCGCTCTGGCATTGCCAATTAGCAGCTGCTTATAATGTTTACCAGTGCTGCCAAGCAATTAAAATTCCCTATAATACCAATTGGAATGTAAGCAAGTAAATCTGTGTGTGTGTTTCTTTTAATCGGCCAGTAACAAAGTATAAAATATATAATCATATGTTTTACAACATATACCGTGTTAGTCAGAATCTATTATTAATTCCAAATCACACTGCGAATTGTTTCTTTGTTATTTTGCTCCAATTTCGCTTTCCCAATTATGAATCGCTATCGTATATCGCTAAGGCGCCAACACTTTCAAAACGCAGTTCTTCGTGATTGCTAAGGAAAAATTGAAAATTGAATCAAAATAATAAGTAATAAATTAGGAAAGATTACTTACCGAAACAAGTTTAATTATGGAATCAGATGATTTGATGAGTTCATTCTGCAAAATCAATTATTAATCACTATCTAAAAATCGGTGTCATTTACATTACCTCCCTCATGCCCTCCGTTACGCTAGTTTCATATAGTGCCACGTAGAAAGGCAACTGACGACAACTAATTGATTGCCTAATTTCCTCCTTTAAATACTGAACAACGAACAATATAAACTCGTCGCCGACTTGATTGCACTGAATAATATACATAGTGGAAAGGAACTTAAGCTGAATAACCAAATGCTTAAAATCCGTCCATCGTAAATGATGGCCAGACGAAATGCTAAGCACACGCAAATTGGGCAACTGAAGTATAACAGAGTTAAGAAAATGATAACAGGGTCTGTAGACGTTCAATAGTTCAAGGGCCCGCATTTTGGCAATATACCCCCGATGCTCCAGCGGAATTTCCGTTCCAAGACGCAAGTGGTGCAAAGCATGTGGACGCAACTGGGCGAATCTCTGGAGCAGCTTACAATTGGGGTCAACATAATAATTAATATCCAAGCTTCTTATACATGGCAACAGAACGAGAAACTCATAATTGGGATGGGACTCACAGTCGATCACGAAATTCTCTAACTTCTGCATATGCTTACAGATCTGAATGATAATGCAAGTCACCCTATAATCTATGGATAATATCAATGATCTTAGATTTTTCAAATAGCAGCACACATTGATCATTTGCTGGGCCTTGCAAATCAGTGGCTCTCTCTCCCCCTCTTTCACATCCGAGACTGCCAACATGCGCATCTTATGGCCATTCAGCTTAAAGAAATTTTCAACTTGCGGCGTAGTCCAAGAATGCATGGGTTCATTCCACGAAAAGCAACGGAATCGCTTACTAAAGGCACAGTCGTAGATGTGCCCAAAGCGAGGACAGGTATTTGCCAGGTTGCACTGATTTATCAAATCCAAATGCCCGAATATCCTGATCAGGCAGTCGTCGGGCATGTCCAAAATCTGCATGGAGTCCATTTTGAACTTTCTTTTTTTTTTATTACTGTACTTAAAATCTACACGAATATATACGTATCAAAATATAAATGTTTTCTCTTTGAAAACTATGTATATTATGAAAAATTCAACAGATTCAGAGTTTACGAATTTACATACGTGACATTATTTACTTAGTTAATAACTTCATGGTTAAAACAACGTGTTTGTTAACCAAAAATATGTGAAAAAGACATGTGAATAATAAATTTCGCTTAAATATTGTACTAAAACTAAGTCTAGTTAAACTTAGTCAATGTTTAACTGAGCTTACACACTACATTCACTTAGACAGAGATTTTACTGTAAGACACTTTCGATATCAATGTCCACAGCATTAGCCAAGTCTGTGAAATTTTGTGCATTCTGTTCGTGTCCTTTGGAGCGATAATGAGCAGTTAAATGTGGCCGCCGCAGGAAGGATACTTTGCATATCTCGCACCTGTAAGAAAAATACGTTTAGATGAATCGGATAATGGTATACTTGATAATATTTGAAATTCTTTGGCTGCAAAACATGACGGTAGCCCAAAAGAATTAGGGCGCCATCAGTCGGGAGAAGGACTAAAGTCTTCAACAGCAAATCAGCATCTGACTCATCTGACATTGCCTTGTAGCGTTAACTTACGGAAAACTGCGTACGCCGGAATGGCTAAGCATATGCCGCTTGAGTTTGTTACTAACAGCGAATTCCTTTTCGCATTTTGTGCACTTGTATGGGCGATAATTTGTATGACGACTGTGAGAAGTATTAAAAAAATAAAATAAATAAGCATAGAGGGGGGAGCACATTAATTATACTTACTTCCGCTCATGCTGAATCCTTCCGCTGTGATCGGCAAATGTCTGGCCACAGTACTGGCATGGGTAGGGCTTCTCGCACAGATGCGCCAGCTCGTGGCGCCGCAGCAAGTGTGGGGTATAGAACTTCAAGGGGCATTGCTTGCAGCTGAAGTTCTTTATGCCAGTGTGCCGCAGCAGATGCACCTTGAAATTGCTGGGGCAGGTGAAATGGCGGCCGCACAGCTCGCAGATGCAATCTCTCTTACGCCGTTCACGTTTGAGCGCGACAATCTCTTCCTCCGACAATTTACTCCAGTTGATGCGAGGAGTATTCCTTGTATTCGTTGCAAAGTTTACAGTTGCATAGAGCTTAGATTGAGGTTTGCCAGGTTTGCGTGCTAAGCTGGGTGCTGGAGCGGGAGCATCTACAGTTGATTCTTTATCAATCTCGTTCTGTTGCACAGACTCTTCCGGTTGACCATCATCATTTAATTCACTTTGCTGTTGTAAGTCATTATTTTCGCCAGAGGTGTCATTTTCTGTGGGTTCTTCCTGCGTCGTCTCCTGTTCAATGTCTTCGGCATCTTCCTCAAGCTCCAGATTTTCCACTTCTTCCGAGTCGATTTTGTTAAACGCTTCCTCTATGTTATTGCAACTGCTCAAGAGCACCTTTTGAGTTTTTATAATGCGCTCTCGAAACACGATCGCTTCTCGTAATGCCACTTCGCAGGGTCCACAGATATGTGTCGGAAATTCCATATTTTCGGTTAACTATTAAAAATATTAAAAACATATGAACTTATTCACTTGATATTGAATCGAATTAGATGCTTACAAAAATTCCAGTTAATGCTGCAATCTGATGTAGCATAATGTTATCGGGCTGTTGGAATAAATTCTTTGCGTTCACACAGTAAATAATCTTGCCACAGGTACGACAACGTGCCGACATTTTTCAAATCATTTTCCAAATCAAACGAGTTGTTTACTTATTTTCTTACCATCATTCGGGTCTTTCGCGGCAATCAGCTGTTTTGTGATCATCATATGGCAACGCTGCAACTATTGTGAATGCCAATACATTTAAGAAGAGCCGATTAAAGCTCAGCTGTTTGAATTGCTTTGCAGTTGCTATTGCTTATCTTTAATTATTCACATTATTTAGATTGGATGCTGGCATTTAAATAATTTAAGCTAAATTTAAAATGCGCTTAAATGAGCATACAAAACTAAGTGGCCAACGCGTCGTGCTGGTGCCCTACGAAGCCCGACATGTGCCCAAGTATCACGAGTGGATGAGCAGTCCCACACTACGGAGCCTCACGGCATCCGATGAGCTGACGCTGGAAGAGGAGTACGAAATGCAACGCAGTTGGCGTGAGGACACTGACAAGCTTACATTCATTGTGCTATGCGCGGAGACATATGAGAAGACCAATGATGAGATTGCCGCCATGGTGGGCGATACAAATCTATTTGTACGACATGATGACGATGAGCCGCAGAAATATGTTGCCGAGGCTGAGATAATGATAGCTTCGGCTGCAGCACGTGGCAAAGGATATGGTCGTGAAGCGATGCTGCTAATGTTCAAATATGCCCAACAACACCTGCCACTACGAAAATTCGAAGCCAAGATAGACATTGACAATGCTGTTTCGCTGCGTCTATTCGAAAGCTTTCAGTTTAAGGAGGTGCGTCGCGTGGAGGTCTTCCACGAAGTGACGCTCGAGAGGCTTATAACGGACGATTGGCTGTCCTGGCTGAATACACAGGTGCAACTGAGAGCTGAGGAATATGTTAATGCTTGACACTATTTATAATTAAGTTTATGCTGTTTATTACATTTATATTACAACTACTTTTTTATGCTTTACTCGCCGTCAAGATGTTGCACACTATCTATGCTCGGGCTGTAGTCGTTGCGTAAGTAATGCTGTGTCTGTCTGTGTGTGGGTGGGTGGCAGGAAAGGCATTGCATGACACTTGCCCAAAGTCAGTTATCGAATGTGTGTATAATATATATATATGTGTATGTATGTGGGTCTGTATGATACATAAAACTAGTTGGCTTAATGTTTGACAGCGATTTTGTTTTGTTTCAATTTTTTATAAAAATTATTATTAAATAATTAAAGGCAAACAGAATTCAAGAATCGTAATCGCAAATCAAAACTAAATATTTCATACCCATTGTTTTCTTTGTTTTGCTCTTCGCTTAACTTGAACTTAACGATAGCTGCTCAAACTTTATGCTTAAAACTAACATTTAGACGTGGTGTGCTGCTTGCTATGAATAATAAATATGCTTGTGTGTGTTTATGGGTGTTGATTGTTGGTTGTTTGTTTGTTTCTGTGTTGTTGTGTGTGGTCGGTTCATTAGGCAGCGGCTCCATCGATGGGCATAGCATGCAGCACCTCATCAAGCAGCTGCAGCGCACGATGCAAATGCACTTCGATCCAGCAGGGTGTCTCTTTAATGGATTGACGCGGGTAATCAGGTCCCCAGCCTTTCACAAAGCTCAGCCGCAATATACACAAACGACGCAGATCATCCACACCGATGCCAGCGGCAGCAGTAATACCTGCAATATACAAATATATATAAGTATGCTAAGAGTTAACTAGGAGGTGATGCAAGCACTCACTTCTACCGCCGCCGCCCATTTGTTGATTGGAAACGCCTGCCACGGCGGCCGCTTGTGCTGCCGCAGCAGCCTGTGCATTGGTAGCCAGCGAGTGCATCTGCTGATGGCATTGCCGCAAGTCGAACACCTATTAACAGTTAAATAAGTTACAAATTAAAGTTTCATTTGATTAGTATTGGGATATACTTTGATGCAGGCAGCTGGATAGATCTTGTGCACGGCATCGCCCGGCGTGCGACCCGCCTCGCGATCCAAGTAATAGCTTTGTACGAAGACAGAATTATCGCTGAGACAGCGCAGCCAGACATCACCCTCTCCGCGCAGATCCAATTGCACTCCCTTGCCTATGTGTAGCCTGTAAATGGATTGTGCATATGAGTAACCAATTTGAAATAATACAAAAACCAACTATTCACCTGGCTCGCTCCGACTGCTCAGTGCGGTGGACATTGCTGAGAGCGCCGAGACAGAAACGATTGCCTCCAGAGGGATCTACGTAGCCGTCGATGATTACATTCGGCTTGGCTGAGGGCACTTTGAAAGTCTCGCCGACCTGTGTGTCCAGCTCAAAGTAGGCAATCGAGCACCAGTACTCTGGCGCCGGCTGGCGTGATAGCAATCGTGGCTGTTGCTGTTGTTGCTGCTGCTGTTGCTGGGGCGGCGCCTGTTGCGGTGAAGCCAGATCGCCAGGCAACGCCGTACTCCCTAAAAATAAATAAATAAATGTTTAGTAAAGGGAAGTGAGTTTCAGAGATTCCCCTTCACACTCACAGTAACTGGCGGGTAAGGAGCGCGGATCAGGCGGCTGCATGGACTGTGTGTAGGTGAGCGTATTGGGTCCCGTCCAGGTGCCTGCTGCTCCACCGGCACCAGCACCACCACTGGCCTGGGCAGCACCGCCAGCATTTGGCTGATTGCCTGCTGTAGCCTGTTGTTGTGCAGACGGAGGCTGGGATGAGCCGTAGCTATTGGCGCCAGCTCCCTGACCACTCGGCTGCGGCACATAGCCATTCTGTTGTTGCTGGGTGTGCACAGTAGTTGGTCCAGAGCCGCTGTTGCCGCTGCTGCTAAATTTTCCGACATCATTGCCCACGCTCTGCATTTGTGCGCCCGCGGGCGGCGCCCCATAGTACTGACCGGCGCTGCCAGCAGCTCCTCCGGTTGAATTGCTGGCCACATTTGGTCCATTGGGTCCGCCTCCCGGCGGCGGTTGCTGTTGCTGCATGGCCATCGTGCCTGGATCTGTGGGTGAGCTGGCCTGGGCATGATGCACGCCATTACCTTGTGCGTTCTGTACCTGTGTGGGCGGGGGTGGGGGCGCCATAACGGGACCGGAGCCAGGATTCATAGCGCTCATACCCGGCATGCCATGAGGTACGGCTGCAATGCAAACAAATTCCAATTAATTGACAATCAATGCTGAAGCTTATGCAGCTAATTCTGCAGAAAAAATGAACTCAAATTAACAAAAACAACGAAAAATTCTTACAAAGTGCGTGCGTCGCTGGCTGGGATTGGGTCTGTGGCTGCTGCTGTGGCGCCGCCTGCTGCTGCTGTTGCTGCTGCGGCGGTGGCGGATGCCGCAACATCCACGAGCTGCGCACTGGCCCGCCGCTGTCCGTTGGCTCAATTTTTGGTATTGCGCGACCGGCAGCAAACATTGCACTCATTTGATTAGCATCGGTGACTACGAAATTAACGGAAAACGGAAATGAAAATGAAAACAAAATTTAGCAAAATTAAATCGCAAACTAGAAGCAAGCAAAATAAACCAACAATATCTACTTGGCTAAAGCTTAAGATCAAGATGTAATATGAGAGTCTATTATAGTGTCTGGTCGTACCGTATTCACCGGGTCCGGGACCCTGTGGTGGATAGCCATAGCCACCCGGGCCGACCATCTGCGTGGGATGGTGCTGAATTGTGCCAATGTCGTTGCCATCAATGTCCATGCTGCCAACGAGAGAGCCGGCTGAGTATTCATCTTTGACCAATCGACTGGGTCCCGACTGCAGGCTCAAGCCAGACAGATCGATGCCCGGCGATACGACGCGCTCGTAGTGGTAGGGATTCACACAGACTGAATCGCACTTGAGATCGAACGCAAACGCGCAGTACTTCACATGCTTCAGCTCGTTCTTGTGCAGATCTGGCCAGCGCCAGATGCGTGCATAGATCACATGCGGGAAGCCCTTGCGGCCGGCCACCTGTCGTCCAGCAAGGGTAAGGAAAGCGTAGAATGGAAGAAAGAAAATTAAATGAAAATCAAATCGAATGAAATAGTAAACACGTAGACGCGTCGCATATCGCAACCGGAAATGCCACAACGTAAACAAACAAAACACATAAAATACATTGGAAAAAAGTGTCTGACTTCAAAATACCCTGTAGTATAAAAAAAAAGATAGATGGTTAAGATATCTTTTCGGAAATGCGCTATAAAAGAGACCTAATTTTATATGGCTATTAGGTAAACCTGATAATTATCAATCAGTCATAAATTAACACTTGACATATGACTAACTGACTTCGAAATTTTTAGCTGTCTAGCTTTTATAACTAATATATTAATCTACCTTCGGCATATGACTGCTATTATCTATATCTCACTACACTTTTAATATCATATATTCCCTGATTAACAACAAACTAACAACTTCCTTAATTCTCCAATCGCCACATCTGCAATATACCTCTTTTACACATAATAAGTGGGTGCAGGGTATAACAACATATAGACCCCACACATTGCCGGGCGATAAGAGGCGTTACTGAAACTAAAGTTGAAGCTGAAGCTGACGTCGACGTTGACGCTGTCGTTGACGCTCACCTGCAGTCGGCCGTCGAGCGTGCGCTGTATGGTGACGCATTTGCTTGGATGGGCGCCGTTCGTGGTAATTGCTGTTATCAGCGAATCCAATTCGTCTCGCTTCTCCTTCAGCTTCTTAACGAGCGACTCGATGGCGCGCTTAGCAAAGCCCTCGCTCTCCCCACCCTGCCGATGGCACATTAGCGAATGGACAATGCTCAGGCAGGCATCCGCCGAAGTGGGCGCATTCGACGGCGGCGGCGGCGGCATTTGCACCATATCCCGAACAATTACTGGAGAAATGAGTGGACGAGAGAGAGAGAGGGAGAGATCATTTAGTATTATAGAGAGCCATATACATAATTATAGGCTTGTACTCACTGTCCTGTTGCGCTATGGCGCCATACATATGTGCTGGCGGACCAGCGGCCGGTCCGGCCATGCCAAAGTCCTGGGCAATGCCCAGGCCACCGCGTGCATGTGCATCCACTTCGGCGTTGTTTGTCTCGCCGCCGTCACAAAATCCGTATCCAGCTGATGGCCACAAAGCGAAGCTGTTCGCCACTAGCGTTGCGCACTCACAAAAAAATATCACAAAATAAAATAAAGCGCAGCGCCCAACCGAAACAAAGAGAAGCACGCGAATGTGCGCACAAAACAAACGACAAGTCAGCGAACGGCAGTCTCTCTTCTCTTTCCCCCTTTTTACTGCTTACAAGCAGTTAGTGTTATTGTTGTTATTGCTGTTACCGTCGTTGTTGCTGTTGTTGTAACTTTACAACTTGTGCCAAAGAGAGCGCCTTTGGGGGTGTTACGCACACATCGAAAATGATTGCACACACACACACTCGCACACACCTAGAGGCGCGCGCTGTTAAACTTGAACTCCCACAAAGCTACCGTAATTATGGCAACAGCAAGGCTTTTCTTGCAGCTAGTTCTTCTTCTTCACTCCCATTCGTTCTGCTCTCCTCTGCTCTTGCCACTTCTTCTATGGCTGAACGTCCGGCAGCAGTAGCAGCAGCAACAGACGCAGACATATACACTCACAATCACTTGGCGTGCGGTGTTTCTTAATTTGTAATTTGCTTTCTATTGCCTTGCACTGTTTATAATATATATTAATTGCAGCGTTTTTAATACTCGACTGCTAAACTGCACTAAATAATTTTCCGCACATCTATAGCCAGTTTTCCACCCAATTTGCTTTTCTGTTCTTATGCTCTTTTCAGAGATGGGTGCTATTTATATTTGTAGCGGGTACCCGTTACAAGTAGCGAGTGGAAAAATTGAGACATCGCAACAAAAGTAAACCACTGACCAGAGAACACATAGACTAGACATGTAGTACAAAGTTTTTCAACACCGAAAAATCTGACTCATAGGGCCTATCAATTTCGTATTTGCTCGGCTCTTCACTTTTTAGGTTCGGGCTACGAAAATATGCGAAGGTACAATCATTCCGCTTCATGCGCTCGACCGAGATGGTCAAATGTTGAATAAAAGATGCCTCTATGCTCAATTTTTGTTCTTGCTCTCTCGCTCTCTCTGCTCTCTGCTCTCTCAATATGTATATGTATGTATGCATGTGAGCACAAGNACCTAAAAAGTGAAGAGCCGAGCAAATACGAAATTGATAGGCCCTATGAGTCAGATTTTTCGGTGTTGAAAAACTTTGTACTACATGTCTAGTCTATGTGTTCTCTGGTCAGTGAGTAAACATAACAAAAAATACATATGAATGCTAAATTAATATATTTTTAAATTTAAATTTATTTAAATGAATATTTATATGTTGAAAAAATGAGCGTATTTCTTTTAATCCTAAAATATCATAATCAAAACCTATTAGCGATAGGGCACGCAGCCATCTCAAGTGTACAGCAGGGACTAATGCACATCCCTAACACTTGTTAGCTAGCGCAGCCCTGGTTTCACAATCTGCCATTTGCTATTTGAGTGAAACAGACAATAATTTGTTTTGTTGATAAAAAAAAAATGAGCACGCCTGCAAAAAGCACTGGCACCGGTCTGGAGGATGTTAATATACCAGGCCAAGCGTTTCTACGTGAAGCGCTCACCTCATGCACGGATCCACTGAAAGCCATCGAGAGCTTTCAACTCGAAAATGGAGTTTTGCTGCCTTCTCTGCGTCCGATGTTGCCTTTATTGGATTTGCATGGTGTGCGACGTCTGGACTTCCATACTTCGCTTATGGAGGAGTTGCGTGACAAACTAATCGCGCACATTAACGAGCTGGGTCAGAAGGATCCACGCGAGCGCGAAAAGAAACTAAAGGATTTGCTGGTCAAGAGTTTTCCCGTGGTGCGTGTTAAACATTTGCGTCCTGTTGTGATGGCCATACTTCGAAATACCCAGCACATTGATGACAAGTACTTGCGCGTTCTGATGCGCGATCGCGAGCTCTATGCGGATACAGACACAGAAGTCAAGCGGCAAATATGGCGCGATAACCAATCCCTATTTGGTGACGAGGTGTCTCCACTACTATCGCAATATATTCGCGAAAAGGAGCACATCCTCTTTGATCACACCAATCTGAATAACTTGTTCTTCCAGCCCACACCGAAGGTGCGCCGCCAGGGCGAGGTAGTCCAGAAGCTGGCCAACATGATTGGCAATAGCGTGAAGCTTTATGATATGGTGCTCCAGTTTCTGCGGACTCTTTTCTTGCGCACACGCAATGTACATTATTGCACGCTTCGGGCAGAGCTGTTGATGGCACTGCATGATCTGGAGGTGCAAGAGATCATCTCGATCGATCCGTGCCACAAGTTTACGTGGTGCCTGGACGCTTGCATTCGGGAGAAGAATGTGGATATTAAACGCTCGAGGGAACTTCAGGGATTTCTGGATAACATCAAACGCGGACAGGAGCAGGTGCTTGGTGATCTCTCCATGACACTGTGTGATCCGTATGCCATTAATTTTCTGGCTACCTCGGCCATCAAGATTCTGAATCACTTGATCAACAACGAGGGCATGCCGCGAGACAATCAAATTTTGATATTATTGCTGCGCATGTTGGCATTAGGATTGAGTGCCTGGTTCATGATCGACACCCAGGACTTTAAGGAGCCGAAGCTCGACAGCCAGGTTGTGACCAAGTTTCTACCTGCTCTAATGTCGCTCATGGTGGACGATCAGTGCCGAAGCCTACACGCCAAACTTCCTCCCGATGAGCGTGAATCCGCATTGACAACCATTGAACACTCTGGCCCGGCGCCGGACGCCGTAGAGGCCTATATCCAGGAGAGCTCGGTGGCCAGCATTTTGGCTATGTACTATACGCTGCACACGGCTCGCGTCAAGGATCGCGTCGGTCTGCTGCGAGTTCTAGCCATATTGTCGGCCTGCAAGGACTATCGTGCCTACGAGGATCCCTTCCTCCACTCGCTGATTGCTCTGCTCATACCCATGAGCGAGGAGTTCGCCACCGAAGACTTTTGCACCACCCTCTTCGATGAGTTCATTTTCGCGGGTCTAACGCGCGAGAACGTCACCTCCAGGCACATGATGAAGCTGCTCTGGTACATATATAATAAGTTGCCCGCTGGTCGCCTGGCGACACTGATGAAGGCCATGCAGCCAACGTCGGCACACAATGAGCACATCCACAAACTCTACGAGACGCTGCAGGAGCGTATTGGCACGGCCGTGGCTCCAGAGACAGCCACGCCTACCGTACTTGATCAGCCGCCCCCTGACTACGATTCACCTTTGAAGAGCGTGCCCACACCAGGACCTCATTATAGCACACAATAAACTACGTAGATATATAATTATTATATATATATAGGCATAGTTATAAAGCTCCAAGCTAGTCTTGTCTATATACATGCATATATATGTATATATATGCTAACTGCTAACTAACTAACTGCTACTTATTAGCCTTAAACCAGTTTCATATTTGTTTACTTTATAGAGTAATTCCATTAGTTTTTTACAGTTTATTCTTTGTTTATAGAGAGCTAATCTAAACTTAATATGCGTGTGTATTATACATATTCAATTTTTTTTCGGATATAGGATATATCGTCATATTTTTAGATCAATCTTATCAGATCTATTGATTACTATTTAGTTAACTTTTATATTATCATTAAAAATTATACCAATATGTATATTTTTCAATAAGACAACTTGCTATTATATATCATATAAGTATCTTCATTTAGTTTTGTATTTCTTCTTTGAAAAAAAAAAAAAAAACGTTCATTGTCGAGCTTCTTAAGTCCAAACTAAAGACTAAATATCCCTAAGATTGACTAAAAATATTTTATAGCTTCTAAAGAATAGAATACAATAGATAAACCATTCAATTTTTTCTTTAAATGAATATTTTGTTTACATTTATGGTTTAGAGTATCATATATTATATGTAGGTGTTATAGAAAACATGAAAATTATATTTCTTGGTATTCCAAACCAAATGACTTAAAATTAGTAAACTTAGAATCTCATATAACTCATCGACCAATAGTTGAACGAAGATTGAATGTCATAGAATATCTTCTATTTTTATTGTTTCTAATCAAATAATAGAAAATCAAAATAGCTAAAAAATTATATATTTTAGAAACCTGTTTATTAATTATTATAATATACATACAATATAAATGGAAGATCAATTATTAATTATTATAATATACAATATTAAATGGAAGATCAATTCATTTTAAAATATATATACATATATCTTTAACTAAAAATTCATATAAATATTTAAAAAATACTCCCATCTTTAAATACTTTAAGGGTCAAACTTTATCTGCCACACACAAATCATTTTTGATATCATCGATTAAATCGGCATCCTCCAGACCCACCGAGAGGCGTATCAATGCGTCCTAAATGGGCAGATTTTTCGATCTTCTGCAGGCACCGAGGCATGGGTCATGATGGAGGGCGAAAAGCGCTCGATTGCGGTAAGTCGCCCTTGATGTTGAATAAGAAGGCGCCGCTGTAGCCATACGTCGGAGCCAGGGTCAATTGATGCTGAGGGTGCGAAGGCAGATCAGGGCAGAGCTTTCTCCACAAAATCATGTGTCTTCAGAAAATTGGCCACTTTGATGTTGCTCCATGCGCAGCGATAAGGGGTTCACCTGATAAAAATCAAAGGTCGAGGGCACAATTCTCATTGAATTTTG